TCCTTGTCCACCCAAGATATCTTTCTCTTCAGAGAGTTATCTTTGGTGACGTATAACTTGGCTAGGACACCCAGTCGTCGTGACACATACAACATACAGAGCCCCTTACCTCACTACATTCTCAATCATCTACTGCCTAGAAACTGGCTCACAGACGCCCGCCACAACGCCCAGTGGTTTGGTTGGTTCCACAGATCAACAAGTATCCATAATATAGGGGAGTAATATACAAAAAAAAATCGAAGAGCGCACTATCTACTACTAAGAGTAACATTCAAACTACAACCCTCAACTGAACATGAACTCTCTGTTGTTTGTTAACTGAACAGCAAAATATAACTCTAAGACATGAAAGACAAATTTACAATTTTACAAAAATTAACTCATTCGAAAATTTTTACTCTTTATTGACGAGTTAGTATTTGGTGGAACAAGCTAGTATGAGTCAATGATTCCTCCTGTACGGTCATTACACCGTATGCTGTATGCGTTGATTATACATATTAATTGTTCCAATATTCAATACGCAACTCATTTTCTTTCGTTGTTCATTCTTCTTTACATTTGCGTGATAATAATTGCTTTTATTTCTATATTATTAATTTTTGAAGGAGAAAGTTCTAATTGGAGTAACAGTCAGTTAGTCAGAGTTATATTCTTCATCTTCGGCTAAGAGAAGGGAAACTGCTTTAGGATCAACAGCTTTTTGCTGATTCTTCAAAACAGTTCCTGATAAATGAGCTCCGACACGTTCCAGTTGACGACGTCTAGCACAGTGCTCACAAGCTTAAAAACTTTGAAAAACGATTGATATGAAAATACTTACTCATATACATGACAAACAAAGGAATAATAGTAAATAATCCTAAAGCTCCTACTTTACTTGAGAAGTTATTGTAATACGAATAGATGTCTTTTGTCTGAGCTGTGTCACAGAACAAACCTGAACTGTATGATGTGACAATCAATTTAACAGCAAAACTTACCTGAATAAGGTTTTTCACATTCGCAAGCTGTCTCATCATAATTAGCCTTTCCACCGTTGAAACAGGAGATTGCATCACAATCTTGTCCCTGCCAACCTTTCATACATTTGACACATCTGTAATGGTGCTGATTAGATGCATTCAAAATTCACTTCGCGTACGATCCCGTTTCCAGACGTTCGAATCCCTCACAATTCATTTTTCTGTGACAAAGAGCACCAGTCCATCCATCAAAGCAATAACATTTATCTCCTAAATTGATTGTACTAACGCAGAATTCAAAGATGAACACGTATGAGGAAGTAACATTAGCATAAACAACGTGGAAGTTACGTTAAACAGAGATGTTTGAATGTTATCAACAAATGACGCGCAGGACGGTTGGACAATAATGAAATAACGGTCGATTCATATAGTATTAGAAGAATTATTGCGAGTGTAATAGAAAGCACATAGATTCAAAAAACAAATTCGAACCGTCTTGATCTCCGTTTATACATGGTTTTCTCTTGCGAGCAGCAGCAGCAGTACAGCAAGAGAGTAAGGTCAGAAAAACGAAGAAAGAGATGAAGGCATTCATCTAAAAATGCATTTTCGCCTTAATTATTACATAATTGTAAGAAAAAAAAGGTTTAAATAGTGAGTGAAAATGAATGAAAGAGGGAATGAACAGAATTGAAACAGTGACGGAATTGAAGGCCGCAATTCACACAATGTATGTTATACAAATTAATTCTGTTCATTTCTTCTGAAAGAAGAGAGAGAGAGACAGAGAGAGAGAGAAAGACAAAGTAGAAGGAGATAGCATTTGATGCATTCAATGCCTAGTTTTGGTCATAATGTGGTTCGACTTCGCCATTCATCGTGATAACCTTTGATATTGTGACTTATATGAGAAAAGAAACTGACTGTCTATTTGTACGGAAGGTCGCCTCATTAAAGTTTTTGATTTTAACGCAATGAGAACTTGATAATTACTAGTAATTGGATAACTATTGTGAAAGGGCGGCTGTCAGTCAATTTCTGCAGTGTTTCGAGCATTCACTTAACCTGGACAATACAGCGCGCCATGGATAATTTGATTAATTTCGAAAGTTTGAATGAAGCTCAGAATCGCGCGCGAATTAGCTTAGATGTTTTGTTTTCGCATTTAACTGCAGTTTCACAATTTTTTTCATTTATTTTGCAAAAAATAGTATTTTCTAAATTAAAAGTGTACGGAAGGAACTTACTTGTCCGAAATAGGAACAGTGATAGTGGACGATGATGGGAATGTCTGTTATGTATTTATGTGATTCGGAGAATTTCTCTAATTATTCGACGGACAATCAATTGTTCGTTGGTTGATCGAAGAACGTGTGATTATATTCTTTGCATGTAATTGATAGATGTGACTTTTTTGAAACGGCAACATCATCCACCTAGTGTCTGTTGATGATATTGCCCAACCAAAATTGTCAACAACATATCTTGATACCCTGCTGTCTTGTAGAAGCTGCTCATGCATCATAATTTCAGAAGACATTCAAATGCCGGCCCCAAAAAAGAATGTTAGAACCTTCTTAATTGAAGAAAAAATATTTTTGTATTCAGAGAAGAGGTAGGAAGAAGAAGGAGGATGTCTCAATAGTCAAGAAGATTACGAAAAAGGGATCGGATCAGCCAATGAAAAGGTTAGCAGAGAAATATATTGCCAAGGGAAAAGCGCTAAAGGCCTCACTACCACAGTAACTAGGGATGTAGATTTATGGGTTATATGCATATTTCTTTGGTTCATGTAGGGTTGAAGAATTGATTTCAATATTTAGTTTTTGGAGACTAGGGACTGTTATTAAGTTATTGATTAAGTTTTTGTTTCGATACAGAAAAAATAAGTAAGAGCAATCTAGACGATTATGGGCTGGGCTTAGTAAAGGACCCGAAAGAAACTGCCATTCCCTTAGCTCATAAAAATATACAAAAATCATATCAAAATAACAGGCGAGGAAGAAAGAAAAAGAATAACCCGGACCCATTGGTGATCGTCCCGGCAAATACCGTTCCGGTAAGAGTTTTTTTCAGCGATGGATACGTTCAAACTATCATTTTGTAGATTCCTGTTACTCTCGACGATAACATCGACTGTGATGTATTGAACCATTCTCGTCTATTCAACTTCCAGAAAAGTAAAAACAGAAATGAGTTTAGTGTTTGAAACATATTTGTAGGAAAAACCACCTGTTCGGCTATTTTGACAAAGTATTGTAATGATGTAAGATCTTCGCTCGATTCCAGTAAGATTAGGTTTTTTTCATGACTTGGGTTAATTGTTTTAGATTCGTTCTCGTCCAATGAGATTTCGAACATTAATGCAACCATCAAGAGTATTGATGATTTTTTGAAGAATTGGAACAACTTCACTTTGGTTAGTTGAGCATTCGAGTCTTCACACTTAACAATGTTTCAGCAAGTGGTAGATGTTCTCAAAGATAGTACAGATGAACTAATTCAGAAAACTGTACGTGAATGCTCTAACCTGGTAACCAGTGAGCCTAAACGCCTGTAAGACTTTAATATCAGAAGGATTATTTTTATTGATTTCTGTTCTGTAGATTCTAATTAACACTAATATTTTTATTGATGGTTTTTTTTACTGTGACCTGTTTGTTGACGTGAATGTCAGTTGCGTTCATCATGCCAAATAAATGTATAAGTATTTCATAAAAGTGAAGAATTCAAAATCTATACGGGTACTTTTAAAATTTAGTCAACGAAATATGATAGAATAAGGATATGGGTATACCACACATGAGGAACACCCTCTAGTCGAAACTGCAGGTTAAAATTTCGCGGACATGATTTTGTAAGCACAGCGTCAAACACAACCGCTTCGCGCTCTGCAAACGGGGCAAATGAAACTGGCGTTGCAAACTATTGTTCCATAGCACATTGTATAGGAATGATCCTAACACTGCTATTTGGAGCTACAATTCAAGTTATATTATTATAATTACGAATGGAAAAGATGCGATGAATAAATCACGTGCCTTTTGCATGGCTTGAATGGCATTTTCCCGCTAACGCTCAATGTTGTTATCATTGTTTTTCTGCTGAGCTTAACTTTCTGTTTCAAACATTGGTTTCTTACTTTTACTTTTTATTTACAGAAATGGTTCTTTCAAGTGAATCCTTTCTCATACGATCAAATCGAGTAATTGATCCATTTAACCGCCTCGGAGCAATAGCTCGGGCTTCTTTAACTGTAATCGAATTTTGTCAGATTGAAGGGCCCCGACCATTAGCTATGGTTCATACAACAGGAGGTATAAAACAGTGTACTTATTGAAATACTGGATAATATGATTTAGGTGGTGTTCCGATTGACATTGACTCACTCTCTGTATGGCTGATGTCATCTGAAACAGCGACTGGGACTGTCCTTTGTCTATATAATCAACAATCGGCAGTTTACGCTTTATCATATCATTTCACGATTTATGACATCAAAGCTCGAGCCTTTCAAGTATATTTGTGTTTCATGAAACCTATCAAAAGTTGAGAAATTCAGAGACCTTTATGTTTGGCATACCTCTCATCGAGCAAACCAACAGGGGAGCTCATCAGTAAGTTCACTCTAGCAGTTAGAAAGGTTAATATCTCAAATTTTATATGTATTTTATATATTTTTTGTTTCAGTTACTGGTTCCCTTTGTGTCATGCAATCGAAAACTATTTTTGAGCCAATTAAATGATGTCATCTCTCTGTCAGATTCTATCGGTTCTTTTAACAATAACTTCCCCTTTCAATTGTTCAATTTTTCTTTCAGAAAATGACACAGTTCAAAGCTACTACAATCTTAATCCGGATGATGTTATGTCCATAATGAAGAATCAGAAGTTCATCAACGCCTCGGAGCAGGTGTGATATTATCATATTTGCTTTGTTCATTTGTTTTTTTCCTCAAGGCGAGGAAGTTAAAACCAAGAATGTCTATGCTGTACGAAGAGCTGAGCTGTACAGATTCAAGTTTGAACTAAAGTGTGAAATTTGAGGCTCTTATCTTTCCTTCAGTTGCATCGGATTGTGCTGGCCACCGAACAACAGAAAGAGAATTGGCTGAGCAAGCCTTTCTATCGTTCAGAGCTAATGATCCTCTTGAACATATCAAAGATTTGGCTCCGTGTGTAAGACTTAATATAGCAAACACTGCATACTAATCCTTTTGAATTTTGCAGGCATACGGCCAATTTATCAGTTCTTTAAAGCCCTTGTTATCTCATCTGTATGAAACGATTCCCAAAAGAGGCATTTTATATTCGGGAGCAGGTCCAATTCTCAAGTTTCCGAAATACGAATCACCTATGAAGGAAAAAAGAACTTCAAGGTAGATATTCGAAGGGTCTCTAGTCTATTTGCTCAAATGATTTGTAGTTCCGAAGTGGAGTCAGAAGACGAGGAAACGTTGAAGCAATTGTGTCTCAATTTGGATAATGTAAAAGCTAAGAGTTTTGATCTTTGTTGACATTCCATATTTCAGATTTTGTTCCCAATTCTTGCCGGTCAAACTATCATTGTTAGCGGGTCAGTACAACGAAAGCGAACTGTGATCGATCTGGTTAACAAGTTGAACTTGCTGAAGCCCAAATCACATTCCAACCATGAAGTTAAATCTTGGGTTGAAGATTTAGACAAGTTTGAAGAATTTTTGAATAAGCTAATTGTGAAAGAATGTTTACAGCATTCCAAGCGGCATCGTTGGTGTTTGTGCTACAAAAAAGGAAAAGGAATTCCTGTTAAAAACTAAAAGTGTGTTGTTGGACACAAACACATCCACTCTTCATTTAGTTCCATACCAAGGAAAGCTACTTGCTGGTCAGATTATTTATGAAAAGTATCCTCAATATCTTACTTCCATCTCAGATCTTCATTGTAAACGGAAGTTCCCGACGGATAATTGTCTTCAGTTATTTTTGACGGCAGCTCTTTCCCGTTTATGTATGCTTGTTTATTATTCGAAGCACACAGCTTTGAACGCTTTAAAGGTACGATACGAAGAGGATATGTAAAATAAATTCTAATCGTCTGTTCTTGTTTAGGAAGAAGAGTTGTCCTTAGACGATGAAATGATCATCTCTAACCTGCTAGCTGAGGTTGATTTGATCCGCTACCAAAGTTTTAAAGACAGCATTTCGAAAAAACTCTCTCAAAGAAATCTATCTGTTAAACAAATTTCTCTCTGATTATCGGAATAGCTTTAGTCCCATCATGTGAAGGAACCATGAAATTCAGGAATTTTAATGTTGTAAAATAGGCTTGTACAAAGGTTTTGAATGATCTGTGATAACATCCTGTCAGCTCGTGTCTGACAATAAATTAATTTTAATTATTTAAACAATATTCTCGAACAATTTCTTGAACATATTAAATTACAGAAAGAAGGAGACTTGCTTTTATATTCTATAAAAGGAAATACGACGAATGGGGGAGGACTCCAACAGGCGGGGCCTAATGGATCGATGGAAATGAGTCTCGGCTAGCCTTCGATTCATTCCATTATCGGTCCATATTTCGCGTGTCCATGTTTAGCTGGAAAAATTGTGCCTTGTTTGGGCTGTGGCTGCAGTCTGTATCGTTTCCAATGAGAAGAGCTTTGAAATAACTTCATTCTTCATGAAAATTCGATTTTGAAAGCCATTATTTCGTTTTTTTTTGTTCTTCCCAACTACCCATTCGTTTCCCTCTTATTCTTTTTTTCCTTTCTAACCATCTGGTCATATGACGAACTTAGAAATTGAATCGGCATAAACAGCTTCATCGAGTTCGTTCAAGCTTACCAACATGGCGATAACCGAAAGTTCAAGGCGGTACACTTGAAAATGCTCAAAAAAAATATTTGAAACTGCAGCTTCGTGGACTTCACTTGCATCATCTTTGGCATTATGAATGATGCATTTGACATATCCGTCTTCTATGCCATGCGAGCCTTTCATCACGTTTTTTTCTATTCCATACCGATCATGCAAAAACGAATTCAAAGCTCGAAATGAAAACAGTTTTGAGCTTCATCCATTTCAAAGAGTGATGAGAAGAATGCTATGGAATTTCGGTTGTTTGTGTAAGTCAGTTGTAAGCTTGGCGTGAGTGACGATTTTTGTCTGCTTTTTTGTGCACGTTCTTCTTTCTTATGTTTGCGAGCTGTCTCAGACAAAACTATGAATTCCAACATTTTCCTTCTTTTTAGCATTCTTTTTGCTTCAGAAATGAAGCAGCCTTTGCACAATCTTTTGATCCCACAACTGAATGACTTCCGTTGCATTTTCATAAGAAGACTTTGTTTTTGTTTGATTTCAACATGTTCGATAACCATTTTGACTTAAGCTAAGTCTTTGTTCAGCTGGGTCACGTTCGTTTTCAATTCTTTTAATTTTTTTCTCTCGCCGCCGATGGAAGACCCCAAAGTTTCCTCTTTCTCGTCTCCGGAAACCTTCAATTCCGCTAATGTCCGGTATCAACAAATGAACCTTTGGTGCCGTTTCTCATTTTCTTAGAATTCTTCCTTATCCTACCCTCAATATTTCCTTTCTCTTTCGATATAAATTGGCAACGAATGTGATGAGATGGATGGTGTCAGGATGATGTTTGCATCTCCTTCGCATCCGCTTCTTCGTTGTCGCCTCAGGGGCCATGCGGCCGTTTTCATTTGCCCTCCCGCCCACCTCTCATCCCAGTCTCCTTCCTTCTATCTCTCTCTCCTTCTCTCTCCCTCTATCTTTCCCTCACTGTTACTCTCTCCCTTCTTTTCCCTCATATTTTCTTACTGCTCTTTCTTTCTCTCTATCTATCTAACCTCCATTCTCTTATTTTCAGTCAACGTTTTCTCATTCTCCTACTTTAGTATTGATTTATTTCTTTGACTCCATTTGGCAATTTTACAAAACAAACAACGTTTCAGTTCATGTGCTAGAACCTCAATATGCGTGCTCCTCAGCTTTTGCCCTGTTGATGGCATTATTCATTCCTTTCTCTCCTTTCCTTTCTCTTTTTTTGTTCTTTTTTTGCGGTTCCCATCTTTACCATCTTTCCTTGAACGAGCCAATTATCTTGTTGCTAATTGTTTTAGTTGTTGCTAGAAGACGTCCTTTTGTGAGAAGCGACTGAAGCTTGAGCAGCTTAATTTACTTTCTACTTATACGTCTTCGCTCCTTTCTACGTCGCCCTCTTTCCATATTAAATTCTTTTCTCCTTTTTTTTTCTTTTTTTTTCTGTCATCAAATCTGTTCTCATCTTTTAATCTCTCAATGATTTTTTTTTTTGTTGAAATTGTTGCTGAATATAGCCGTCTTCTACAATTTCACTCAAATCATCGAAGATTAACGTCAGATTTGGATATAGTTGAATGCCAGCGTGTTTCCGTTTTTCGTTTTTCTTTTATTTGCATTCACGTTCTTAATTATACCAAATAGTATAAAATGTATATATATGTAGATAGATAGATATATATAGATATGTATTTTAAGATGCAAAATGGGTGATAAAGCCATACTGAGTGAGGTACTTGAAGCCTCTAATCTAACAACAGCCTACGCAGATTTAACTCCTAAAACTCTATTAAGAGAGTAAGATATACTATTTATACTTTTTACTGTTATTATTGGAAAATGGAATTTCGAATATACTTTCATTTTGTTTTCCAGATTACGTCATGTTGGAGAAGATTTATCTGTGCGTTACTCGAGCATTGATGATAGAGCTGAGCTAGGCGATCCTGAAGATTCACAGAATCATCAACCGGCTAAAGATGAAGCTGAAGCAACATTCACTGTCGATGATGCTGTGGAAGCACTCGGATTTGGCCGTTTCCAACTTTTTCTCAGCCTTTTAACTGGAATGGCTTGGGTAAGTTAAAGCTGAGAAAGTGAGGGGGGGGGGAGAAAAAGAAAATAACACCCAGCTTTCTTTCTTTTTACCTTTTCTAACTATTGAAAGATTTGTTTTTCTAGATGGCTGATGCTATGGAGATGATGCTGTTGTCATTATTATCACCCGCATTAGCATGTGAATGGGGTATCAGTTCTGTTCAGCAAGCGCTCGTGACAACATGCGTATTCACTGGAATGATGACGTCATCTACCCTCTGGGGAAAGATTTGTGATCGATTCGGAAGACGAGTGGTAAGTAAGAATGAAACAGAATAACGAGTGAATGAATAATAATAAAAGAACACTATGGGTGAGTAGGAAGTATCGATAGTTTTGGATGAGAAAACGAAATGTATGAAGTGGATTTCAAGAGGAATGCAACCCTTCTGTGTCTGTGATCGAAAATGAAAAATCCATAACCGTTCCGTATGAGTTTATCCTTATTATTCTAGGGCTTACAATGTTCAACATTGATGGCATTTGTTATGGGAGTATTAAGTGGGCTATCACCTCATTTTTATGTTCTCCTGTTCTTCAGAGGATTAACCGGATTCGGAATCGGTGGAGTACCTCAATCGTTAGTTAATCATTATTTGATAGAGAATATATCTCTATTGTTTAAGTGTTACTTTATACGCTGAATTCTTACCTATGACTCAACGTGCTAAATGTGTTGTACTAATTGAGAACTTCTGGGCTATTGGAGCAGTTTTCGAGTCGCTCTTGGCTTACTTCATTATGAATACATGGGGTTGGCGATGGCTCATCATTTTCTCATCTTTGCCGTTGGGATTATTTTCACTTATGTCATTCGTGAGTTGATTTTTTGTTTTAACAAGCAAAAACAGCATGACAAAATCTGAAAAGAAGTGATAATGGTTGGTGATTGATCACTCGCTTGTTATAGTGGCTACCAGAATCACCACGTTATCTTATTGCTTGTGGAAAAGAGGAAAAAGCATTGGAAATGCTTCAAAAGGCAGCTAAGGATAATCGCGTGCAATTGCCGAAAGGCAGATTGGTTGCTAATATAAAGAATGTAAGAAAAAAAGCATTTAAAATTAACTTGACTCAATAAAATTGCAGACTGAAGATCGCGGAGGCTTGGCAGCATTATTGAATCCAGATCTTAAAAAAACAACATTGCTTTTATGGTTCATATGGTATAGACTGAATTAAATCAAAATTAAGCTTACATAACAATTAAGGGCAATGAATGCATTCTCCTACTACGGCATTGTACTTTATACAACGGTGTTATTCCAATCGCATGATGAGTGCCATGGTGGACTGTTCTCCAATGGAACATCTCTGGAGGAATGTCATCCCTTAACTCGGTCAGATTATTTCGATTTACTGCAAACAACTTTAGCGGAATTCCCCGGTTTGTCATTTACATAAATTATGCTGATATATGCTTATATAATATAGGCTTACTAATCACCGTATTTGTGATTGAATGGCTGGGACGTAAAAGAACAATGGCATTTGAATTTGCCATATTTTCTGTTTTCACCTTCCTTCTATACTTCTGTTTGGACAGGTATATTCTATTTGCCTGAATTGAAGAGATTAGAAGACCATTTCTATTCATTTTCAGATTCACCGTTACCTGCTTCATATTTATATCACGAGCATTCATTTCGGGAGCTTTCCAATGTGCATATGTCTACACGCCTGAAGTGTATCCAACAACATTACGAGCTGTAGGATTGGGTGCTTCGTCAGCAATGGCTCGAATAGGAGCAATTATAACTCCATTTGTTGCTCAAGTAACATCCATTTCATATCTTTCTCGCTATAGAAAAAATTACAATTGAAGGTTTCATCTGGATACTCGCTGTCACTGCCTATATCTATATATGGAACAGCAGCTCTAATGGCATTAGTTGCTGCCATATCCTTGCCAATTGAAACAAAAGGTCGAAAGATGATTGTAAGTTGTCATTTGACATTTAAATATTTCAACTTCTATTCAAGGACTCACACTGAATACAAAGAAAAGAATGCCGTCGTCCTACAGCATCCTATAGCTAGAAGTTAAAGCTGCAACAGTCAAATAACGGACATTCACAGCTTTTTTTTTCGTCCATTTCGTTCATCTTCCACTTCTGACATATTTTCACTCTTCAAATTCTATGCATCTGCCAAACGATGGAATTAGAAGAACACGGATAATCTATTAGCAACACTATCTAGTTTAGTAACTGCTTTTGGAAATTTTCTACGGCAAAAATATATAAGAGCACTTGGATTTTTGCCTTTTCCCAGATAGCAGGGGCATATCTCTCACAACTCTCATATTGTTTTTTTTTTCTTTCTTTCACTTTTCTTTTTTGATCTCAGACAAAAAAAAAGAATTTCTATACTTGTTTTATGACAGGGCAAGGCAACTAGTTGAGTATCTAGTAGGGGGTTACACAGAAACAAGTAAAGTAGTATCGAGTACCATGTAGCTTTTACACTTTCTTTCCAGCTTCTCTCAAAATAATAGCTACCAATTCAAATTTTTGTTGCATGTGCGTGAGTCGACTTTCGGATTATCCTAATAATATCAATTACAAACAGGGTAAAGCACAGAGCAGTAAGTAGAAAAGTGGTAAAGAGTGGGAAAAAAAACCTTTCGCAACTTCTCTCGTTCTAATTGCTTGTAGTCAATAGGACATAGATGACTTTCTGGCCCTCGATGCTTCAAACAAAAAGATTTTTCACATCGACAAGTCATCGTTTGTTCAGTTAAAGATAGCCTTTTCCCACATTTTTTTAGCTTAAAGCAGCTGCAAATAGAAAAATGTTGTCAAAAATACAGCTCTCACCTGACATTTGCATTTTAGTTTCAAGCTATCACTCGAACTATCTTTAACTTCGCTTATATCCATTGAAACAACAGACATGTCCGTAGAGAGATCCTTGAAAGGTTAAACATCAGGAAGAGAATAAAAAGAAAAAAGAAGAAGAAGATATACGAACGTCGGAAGTACGAATTGAACTTCCATTGTCGGATATGTTGGAGATGTCATTGGATGATCTGAAAAATTTGAAAAATCTTTGAAATGTTATTGAAGGAGGCAAATAGTAAATACATCAAAGATGCTTTAGATGAATCGTCTGTACAGTTTTTACTTGAAGATATTGTGTCAATAGATTCATGGCGACTATTCCGCTTTTCAGATAAATCCGAATCCTCAAAGAAGAGAACACATTACGTTAAGTTAGTTGATGAGAAAAAACCATCGACGTTGGTTGTAATTCATCTGCTTGCTTCTGCTTCTTTCTGTTTTTTCGTTTAGAACTGAATGGAATCCATTCATATAAGATAGTTGAAGAGAAATGAAAAAGATTACGATTTAGAATCCACGATGCTCAGTTTGGACTTTTTATCTCGCGATAGCAGATGAGCAATGACTTCCAGAATGTGATCAGATGGGCTGTTAGTGCTGCAAAATGAATATTGAAAAAAATATCGAAAAAATCCTATATTTCTTCTTTTTATTCTGACTTTCTCCTTCCAGTAGTCACTACAGCATTCAATGTTATAATCGAGTTGTTAGTTATTCCGAAGCTTTGAAGTAAACTTTCGTCTGGCCTAAAGTAGTAAGATTCAGTAATTCTTTAAGACAGCTTCACACAAACGTTAGCTGATTTTTGCGATAGATCAAAGCTTGATCCGACGAAGAGATTTGTGTTCGAAGAAATATTGCCATCTTCAAATCTGCTACACTGGCCGAAGATGGCAAGTCTACTTCGAACTTTGAACAAAAACAAAATTAATTTGGGCCAAGAGAAGCATGAATCAAAATACTTTTTGTGATCCTTCCATTATGTTTTTGATTGTTAGCTTGATTTTTCGCTCCATTCTCTTCAGAACACGCAGACGCTTAAAAAAACGATTCAGTAATGAATGAAATATTTCACGTACAGCTGTACGCCACGTGTTATGCTAATCATGTTTGGTGTTATTTACGTGGCATCAGTCACTCAACCCATGTTCATTTTAAATGTCAAGTGAAGATTTAAATAGAGTGAGAGCTTTATGTTCCTTATTTGGTTACAGGCTATAACAAAAAATTAAAGAAAAGAAAAACTTCATCGTTCATCACACGTTCAGTTGTCCTGAAATTCCTTCGTCTTATTTGAATGTTTACATTTTGGCGCCTAAAAGCAGCATAATGAGCCAGCTGGGAATTGTCATTTTTAAGCCGAACTTCCTTGCTTTAATCATCGATGAGAAATTAACTTCTAGCGATTTGCTATTTATCATTTTAAGTCCTGAAGATCCTCTTCGAAGTTCGTCTGACTGATTGCCTGTCAAATCTTTTTTTTTTCGTTTTTAAACCGATAACTTGGAGAGACATAGTGTATTGGTTCTAAGATGCACATACACACACATGCACATGCACATGCACAGAGCTCATCCTCCTTTCATTCCGTTGAAGTTGGAACAGTTATTGGTTCTTTCTTTCGTTCACTAGCTTTGATACATTCATTCATTAAAACAAAATTAAATGCTTTATCCATGTTAGCTGATAACGTTATGATGACATCTGTGCCAATAGCATATTCTATGATGAATCTCCTTTTCCTTTTCGTTTTTTTTTTATTTTCTGGTTAACAGAAATATTTTTTTATTGTTATTCCTATTCAGAAGCAGAAACAGATATTGAAGAATTCCATCTGAAAATCCTTTTTTTTCTTTTCTTAATTCATAGCCAAACCTTATATGTTTTCATCTGGAGAGATGATCTATGTCCAGATTTTCAAAAAAAAAATGAATTGTGTTTGCTCAGTCTTCTTTCAAATTTCAAAAATGTTCCGAAATAGTTTTGTTTTTTCATAGATCAATCTTGGTTTTTGGATATGCTTATCAATATATGGATATACACGAATAATATAATATAAAAAGCTTTGTTTTATGATAATAGAAACTTCCCTGCTTGTCAGGAAAGAGCACAACCGTTCCGTATGCAATTTCGAATTTTGAAATGTTTTGAACATTTTTGAGGCGCCAAAAAAGAAAAGAAGTCACATCGCTCGATGAGACTCTCCGAATTAATAAGAAAAAACTTTTTTTTTCTTTTTTTTTATTTCCGTTCAGAACAATTTCTTTTTTTTTCTGATTCATTCAGAGATGTATGAAGACGAAGCAGGGAGTGAGGAAGAGAGAGAGATAGAAAAGCCCAGATTATGGAAGTGAAGTGATTGTTTTATTTATTTTGTTATTTCCTTTGTAAGCATCTTTTTGATCGTAAAATTGCATTTAACTGGAAAATGCAAAGTAATCTTTACCTGGATGAAGAAAAACAATTATCATTCCTTCCTTCCTTCCTTCAACGGTAATAGCAATGAGTGAAGACGATGAGAATGATTTGACACCAACAGAGCGAGGTGGTAAGAGTGATAGAATGGGTTTTTTTTAAAAATATTTTCAATTTAAAATATCTATTTTTACACATTTTTCCAGGACGATGAATTAATTAGTCAAATAATAACTTTGAAAAGTTAGAACATTTGTTTTGAAGCACTTTGAAGCTAGTTTCAGTTCAGATTTGTGTGTGTGTGTTGATCTTTCGACGAAGTAAATGCGAGGCGAATATGCATTTTATTTTTATCTTTAATAAGCTCACGAGATTTGTGAACTTTATTTGAACTGGCAGTTTGTAAAAATGGTTAGCAAACGAGTTCGTTCGGCTTTTCCTCACTTGAATATCGTCTGGCAAGGAGTGTTGAGTCTGATGACAAGCAGAGCAGGGTGAAACAAAAAAAGAAGAAGAAGAAGAAGAAGAAGCTGGCAAACGAAAAGAAGTCGAAGCAGAAGCAGAAGAATTGTTTCAGTTCAGATTTTGGCCCTGAAAAAACATCTTATTATCTTGTTTTCTAATCAAAAATGTTGAGAGAACATTAGAAATTCTTCCTTTCTATTTTTCCATCATCATCATCATCGTGGTAGCGTTCTTCTTCTTCTTATTCTTCTTGTTCCTTGTGCTTCGGAGAGATATGTGCAACAACCTCCTCAGCTAAATACATCTTGGCTCGTCTTTAAACTTTTTGCAATTCTTATTAAACTATTATTATGAGCCCGGAATTGTGATTAGTAGCCAGTTCATCTATGTGAAATTCAAAAGCTAAGAGATCAGGACAGCTTTGTAAGTCACACGTCATGCTTCTCCATATTCATCTGGAAGAAAGCCATTGTTTTACGTCGCGTTTCGTCTGACACACTCATGAGTTCATATACTGTCTCATGATGGTTTGCAGCTTCATTCGGAGTGAGTGAACGTGTATGCTTTAACTGAATCCTTATGAATATCTTTGAACTACCTTTTGGAAAGACAATTCAAAGCCGTCTTCTCACATCGACCTAGCCTTCCCTTCTGCAGTTATTTGTTTCCTGCGAGATCATTGCTCTCTTTGTCTTTCAGTTCATATATGGCTATCTTTCTTTTTAAGATTTTCTCATTTCTCAGCTGTTATTAGTCATCTTGTGCAGTGCAAAGGATGATGGGAGGATTTTCCCTCTCAATTCAGCTGTGGGAGGAAAAAAAATAAGAAAAAAAAAAGTTTTTGTTGATGTTGTTTATCAAATATTAAAAAAAAATAATTCTTCATATCATGCACTTATTTTCATGGAGAGACTTCATTAATCCCTTTTTCCTCTCTGCCTCTCTCTCTCTCTCTCTTACCTCTCTATCTCTCTTTACCTTCCCTGTTTTGGTCTTTTTATCATTTTCTCTCTCACAGTCTATCTCTCTGTGTACCTCTCTGTTTACCTCTCTCTGTATCTCTCTGTACCGCTCTTTGTATCTCTCTCTCTCTCTCTCTCTCTCTCTCTCTCCCTCCCTCTCTCTCTCACTTTTTTTAAAATATAATTATACCATAACTGTTTCTTTCTCTCCTCCTTTTTTTTTCCACTTTCCATCTGTTCTTTCTTAAAAATTCCTGAGATCATTGGTGTGCAGCTAATATTAACAAAGATTATCCAACATCTTAAATTCTCTCATCTCTCCTATTTAATGAAATCCTTCGGGTATCATGGATGAGAAGAAAAAAAACAAAGATGAAGATGTAAATTTTAAAAAGTTTCAAAAAGTTTTTTCAACAACAGGAGATGAATAGATAGAGTGAGGGAGAGGGGGAGGGAATGAAATGAAAATCTTTACTAACGAATTGCTCGAAATAGACTTTGAGACCGTTTTGTTAGCAACTCTGTCATTAATGGTCGTCTTCGATTGTTGGTCCAGTGAGCTTTTATTGAGAAAGGCAAATTCATTGAAATCATCACTTACTTCCTTATAGAAGTAAATCTCGTAAGTCTGTCTCTATTCTCTCTTTAGTCTAATGCGAAAAGTCTCTGTCTTTTCATTTTTTATCATTGGTTCCAAGCCCACAATTCAGTCAGCCGTATTTCCTGCCGTGCTCGTATTTGCCGTCAAGACGAGATTGAGGTCGATTTAAACAAGTACAAGCTGAGCTTTGTTGCCTGTTCCTTATTGAAAATGAAATTTTTTTAGCAAACTGCCTCTAACCTTTGATCTTCATCCATTTATCATTTTATGAAATTAGCAAAAGAAAAAAACTCTTTCTGTCCTTTTTCTTTTTCCCTCCCATCTCAAACTTTCAAAACAAGCGGGGGGGGGGGGGGGGAGAGAGCTTCAGCTTCATGTCATTTTCTGTCGATCTGAAATTGATGTCAAAGACAAAACATTCTCTTCCATTACTGTTTCTCATCTGATGTTATCATGTGCAACTTTTCTATTTCTTAATACCCTCAACGACTGTGTCTCTTTCTCCATAACCCTCTTACACTGTTTTATTCTCTCTTCCGCCTTTTCACTAATTTCATTCAAATCTGTTTTTGCTCAGTTTCGAAGTAATCAAACAAGTGACATTTAAGACCTGGCAGTTGTTTTTTCTTCTTTTTCGTTCTTCCTTCTTCTTCTAGGGCAACGTTTGAGGAATTGTTTCTTCGGCTCGTTTGCTTATGCGCTCCTAAATGTTCTTATCCATCTTCACACACATCAATTTATCAGTTTTCAAATAAACAATGCTTCGTTCGTTTTCTTTAAAGCTTTAATTGTCAATCAGCCAGCATGTATCTCACACAAGCCCATTTCTTAAAATTTGCAACACGCTTGTCATTCCGTGAAGTTTTCAACACTTCATCCAAATTCTTCCGTATTTTCTTCATATATCTCCTATCTATTGGGAACATGTCTTTGAACACAATATTTTTTTTTTTTAGCATCCATTCCAATCGATTAAAACTTTTAATTTTTTTTTACTTTTAATACCAAATTAAACATCATGCCGAGACGATAGATGAGTTTCTCTCATCTTCATCATATTCATCATTGTTTGTGCAAATCGTAAATCAGCTCTTCACGATTTACTTCAAACCTACTCTCTCACTCATTCTCTTTTTCATATAAAAAAAAAAGTTGAGAAAAATGTGAAACTTATTGATAACCTCATAATCTTAAATCCCATTTCTATCTCATTAATAACCAGCATTATCTTAATTCTCTGCATTTGCATCATAACAACAGATTCAAGAGTGCATCCAGAAATATTCACAATACTTCATTCAAGTTGAGGATGAACAGAAATAGCTGTCAATCTTCTGTTTTTGAATGAAACAAAAAATTAGCATATTTGGCTTCACTTTTTTTTTTGTTTTACGTGTTAACGCAATTTTGCTTTCATTTTATCATAACGAAACGTCCAAACCGGTTGCTTTAATTCAGTTCACACTCCCGACCATATTTCATTACAATGTTCATTACTTCCAAGATATATATGTTGAAAGGAAATGAAATGCAAATTTCAGATATGTCCAATGCGACGCATGTAAGTAGAAACCTGATAGATGATTTACAACTTCTGAATACATCAGCATATATTATAACAATAATAATTGGTGTTTGTGGTAACATATGGGTTGCATGGAAGGTTTGTTACTCACTAATTAAGCAAATCATATGAAAGAGAGAGAAACAGTAATTATTTTCTTTGAACAAACTTCATACGATTTTTGCACAAGTGCGATTATCTTGTGACTCAAATATTTAAATAAATAATAATAATATAAAAAATATATAAATTTGAAACAAAATAATGAAATTAAACGTTCGCTCGCTTATCTCTTGCAACATACGATGTGAACAGCAGCTGTGTCATCTGAATTTCGAAACAAACAACAAAAAAAAAAGAAAAAAAGAAAAAAAGAAGAAGAAGAAAGTATAAAATGAAAAAATATAATACGCAAATATGTAAATTACACTTTACAGGTAGGGATAGTGCTCATGTTCGATCGCACTTATACAGTTCCCAGACAGATTATGTATTGTATTTTATTTATTTGTGTTGCTGATTTATTAGTACTTGTTGATTTAATATTACTGGTTCATTTTCGATTAGTTGATCAATGGCTGTTTGGAGGTGTTGTTTGTAAGGTTCGAATTATAAGATATATGCTCCAGCTATCGGCTAATACGTTCATTCAGATCTTCTATGGCATTGAAGTTGTAAATAAGTTTGTTATCCCTTTGGGTTTAGTTCAAATAAGTCGTGTCTCATACAGGTAAATACCAAAAGCTTAAGCTATTAATATAAAATGTATGAACTTCTAGAGCAGTACTCTTGCATAGCTCAAAGAAGCATATGATGAATTGTTATCATCGAACAGCTTGTGTCATAGCATTAGCATCTATTTTTGTATTAATGGTAAGCAGCATATGCTTTGTTGATCATTTCACGCAACTTTTATTTCAGGTTTTTGTTTCTTTCTTCGCTGAAACAAACACTTATAAATTATCTCGGAAAGGTTCTAGCATTCATATTACAGTCTGCAATTTCAACCCACCTCAATATTATCGTAAATTACATTTGAACTAAAAATTAAATTTTTGACTCAATTTTGCAGAAGCAGTTTTTAATTTATTAGCTTTCGTCGTTGGATATATAATGACTAGTGCATCATATGTCTATTTCTATTTGAATGTACCAATTATTTTGAGAAGACGATATTCTACTATTCAAACGAATCAAGGTTCGTTCCATGAATCCAATCATACTACAACCTTTCAAAAACAACCAAACAAAAGATCAACCGATTCTCGGGTCTGCAAATTGTAAAATGATATCATGACGAATTACACGTAGAAATTTATGCTAATTAGTTTATCGGACAAAAGTCCAGTTCAAACATTCGAACTCCGTATTTGCTTGAAACGAAATTGAATTTTTAACGGAATGAAACTGAGACTAAAGTATAATTCGTCGTGAAATCAGAATATCTTGTGAAATATCTCTCTTACAGCCTGTACGCGATTAAACGATCATTCACTGACCAGAGTTCGTCGAACAGTAACAGCTTTCGTAGTAGTTTATCTAGCTTGCTGGACACCATACTGGACACTGTTTTGGTTTCTCTCCTTTGTTAATATAGTCAATCGGTATATGAAATTAATAAAACTGCCAATTAATAGGACATTTATTAAGGTGGATCGTGATAATTTCAACTTTCACTCATTTACTGCCATATGTTTCTTGTACGGCATATCCAATCATCTTAACAGCGATGAACAAATCGATCAGACGAGCACATTCGAACATCATAGACAACAAGAAGAAACAATTTCTAACAATAAGACAGGGAGCACTTCAGGTAATGTTTTTAACATAAAAACATTTTTCAACAATATTACAGGCTATGTCCGCTCATATGGGAATGGTCCACTCGTGGATGAAAGACGATCAGCAAACCGAGAAATCATCACGAGCAGAAACTGTCATAGAAATGAGTGGTGTCCTTCTTTGACAATTATCAATGAACATAGAACTTTACGGGTACAATAACGGTTCTCAGGAAAATCTCAAAAATGATTATATGTATAAATGTAGCGGAGGATCTATTATAAAGTTTTCAATTATTCAACAATGAGGAGTAACAAAGCAACAAATGAGAATAAGATGAATATGATCATAACAGACTGACCTTAGACGGTCTACAACAAGCTCTACTGGATACTAACAAATGAAAAATAACAAAGATCACTGAGGGGACAAAAACTAGTTCAAATAAGAGATGCGAATAACGTTTCAATGTACAGTTCCGAGTTTCGTAATAAACTTAGACAAATCATAAGCGCGATTGAAGCTCCTTAGATTTCATTCCAGTATAACAGTCATAATAGAAATTTGCGGAATGTGTCATATCGGGAACATATCCTACAATATAAATTGGTAAGTTACAGAGCACAAAAAGAATGTCAACCTGTTGGTGGAAAAGCTGGTTCACAACATGCTAGGTAGAACATTTGCAAGTTCTCCATCTTACTCAGAGTTGGAGTTTTTGCAGGAGTCTTTTCTAATTTATTATCCCCAGTACGGAGCGTAACTTTCGAAGCTTCACCTTCAGTTTTTATAATATTTTTATTATAGTCCTGAAAAAGACAAGTTGATTAGCATTAAAGCTTCGGTAATAATTTACAATTTTGCGAAGTACTGAAGCTTGAGGTAGAGAAACCCCCTTTATTGCCGATAATGCTTTGGGAGTAGGTCTCGTCTGAAAAAAAAACCAGATGTCAAGTAACAAAAACACACAATTTACATAGACTTCCGACCGAGGTGAGTTACTGACTTTAGACTCAACCTGCGGCTTACAGTCGCTCATTGATATTCCGAGTGCAGCTGCTACATTGGCTGATACTGAACAAGAAAGAAGTAATGAGAAAGTCGAACTCTAAACCCCACCTCCACAACTAGAATCTCTATTGGATCGTTTTCTGTTAGTATCTGTGTTTTCTGAAATGATACAAAAATAAGGAATGGAAGTAAAAAAAATTTTGTGAGAAGAATGCAACTGTTCTGAGCTCAAAACACAATACTGTATGAGAAAAAGTGTAGAAAATATTTACAGTGAGTTTTTCAAGAATGAAAAGTCTTCTAAAAAGCGAATACTATCAAAGTTTCAGTAGGGATGATGCAGACAAAGTTAGGTTTTCATAATTCATCTCACTAACAACTTCATCAGAAATCTTCGAAACTATAAAATGATAGATAAACACGCTTAACATTTTCTTTACGTTGATCATGCAAGATTAAATATGATTTGATAATGTCATCTATTCATACCTGCATTATGTTCAACCGGGGAAGAAAAGCCGCCTAAATAACTGTTTCGTTTAAATGTTATGATACAAAACGAATTACCTCCAGAACTATGCATGTTTTCATCCACAAATCGTTTCGGAGGTTGAGCTTTGCCAATGCGATAGTTCTAAATTTAAATTGATTGCTTCGACGTTTGTTTATACAGAATCATACCGTAAACGTGGTATTCTTGCGATCACATAACATTTTATACTTTCTAGCTATTTTAAGGGCTAACTCGGTTGGATCCATTTTGGGATCAGCAGTTAGTAGCTTTCTCTTCTCGGTATTCACAAATACGGTATAATCTAGAAGACATCAACATTAATATTCTTATTGTTGAAAAAAATTTATACCGTCAAGAACGCCTCGTTTCGGCCTCATTTGCAAAACTGGCATGGTAGACCTAAAAACGTGACATCAAGGCCAATTTTTTAGGAAAAAAGCAAACGTTTTCAATTTGTTAGTGGTTGTTGAGGGTGGAGTTCTATCCCTAGCCATATATATATTGAACCTGTATTAATAAAGCAAATATAGAAAAAGCGATCAACGTTGAATCTTGAAAATCAATAAAGTCAGAAAAATTGCTCAAACTTTTGAACACGAGGGGCGTGACCATTGCAAAAGTGGCGCAGTCGAATTTGAGTAGAGCATATATTTCATATCAATTTTCTCATCGAATTCACAACAAATACGATGTGTGTGAATCATTTGACCTGTTGTATAATCTGTTTCTCAATATTCTCGAAATGTTTTCGAAACCATGACGTTATTTGATGCATATGCGCATAAGTTTACAATAAGAGAGAAGTTTTCATAATGAATGAGCGGGCTTCGGGTAATTAGTTTAAAAATTTTTTTCGTGAGATGGAAATGATATTCGAATTTCTAGTTTTTAGTATATATGTTTGTAACTTGTGATTCAATGAAATATTAAAGCTAAGAATAGAATGATAAAAGCGAATTATCAAAGTGGAAATTTGATTATCAATTTCGTTCCGTGGTTCAAGGGAATTGATGAGTTACTGATTTTCGATATTACGATTTACTGAGGGCTTAAAAACCTTTCAGCTGTTTCATGCTTTTTTTGCCGACCGTTACTTGATCATTCGCTTTAAGACTAAACGAAATATGTGAAGCACTACGCTATTGCTTGAAGAAGTATTAAAGAAACGAATGAAAAAATTAAATATCCAAGTTCGTAAATGTTTCGATACGCACTGTCTTTTTCCTTCATCGTTTTGCACGACCGGTCCTTTTTTTTCCGAGTTGCAAAATGAGAATGCATTTTCACAGGTCATTCTCATCGTCATTCTTCATTTTTAAAAATCAGCAGCCATCGTCCGGTTGGTCAAACAGGCTTATTTTCGGCAAGATAAGTGCTCTTTTTAATTTTTCCCGCACTTTAACATATTTTCGCTTATGCTGTGTCATGAAATATCAATTTTCGCTTTCTTTATGCTGTCTCAGCTAATTGCGGTCACTTCGAGATTATTATGACAATCGTCTTAAACCGGAAGTTCTATGAAACGAGACCACGCCAGCTTTGCTAAAACTTTTTTGTTCATTCTATCTGTGAACCTTAGTAATTTAGACTTGATTATGACGTTTCTCATTAGTTTTCTTTTCTTCCGAATACGGCGGACTGTTATATGTCTTCCACTTAAACACCGCCGAACAGTTGTTTTTCTTGTTTATTACATGGCGAAAAGACTTTGATGAGCTATTTCGTTGATAAAATGATAAAAAATGGAGCGCTTGTCGACATAATGAATTTTGCGACCATATACAATTGTTGAGAAGACATTCAAGCCTAGCTTCTGTGTCTTTCGCAACAACGAAATCAATCACGTGACGAGAGTTACTGACCTTCTCTTCCGCTCGCGCTACCCAAATAAACTACTGCGCAGTTATTGGTGTGCTAATAGGCAGGTATATCCCAGAAATGACAGAGGAAAAAAATGAAGGGATATGCTGCAGCTGACTACATCACTATCTCGCTTTTTAATATTAGGTTCTTGCTTTTCTCTTTCACTCCTTGTCTTCACCATATGTTTAGTCAGTTTTCTTGTTCAATCTCTTTTAACGTCTCTCTCTTGATGCTGGTTATACTTCTGCCCCTGTGTATATGTGCAGTCTCATGTGTTGTGATGGAGAAGGCAAGTCATCGTCTCTTTCTCCTCATACTCTCTTGTGTTTAGAAAAATAGAGAGCTAGAGAGAGTGAAAGAGAAATGAGAAAAATTGTGGTCATAGACGCAGACAATCTCTTAGCACGCGGTATTGATTCACAGTAGGTGGAGCCTCACTGCGCTTCGCAACCGCTCGCACCAGCTGATTTATCCATTACGTAACTATTTTGTTTACTGTTTCGTTTATTTTATCAGATTCTAACGTTGTCCTGACTCCGTTCTTACTGAAGAATATGTCTTAATATCCTTATATGCACTTGGAGCATTTGTCTGTTTAAAATCTTGTAGTTCAGTCCAACTCTGGCGCGAAATATTAGTTGAATTTGTTTTTTATTTCGTTTCCATCAAATTGTTTATTCATTCGTTTGCAAATTTTTTTGATACTATTGAATCGCGTTGTATCACTGTTTAACTATTAGATTCAGATTAATCGAGAAGCCGAGTTGACAAGCTTATTTTGCTTCTTTCTTAATTTTCTTTTCTCAAACTCCGGTATTTGTCCTTGGCAATTGGTGAACTCCAGCTGACTTGGATCTGTTAAAAATACAAGAACAGTCGCGTGAATTGTCAAGTTTTGGCTCTTCAAGCCACCCTAGCGGCATTAGCGTACGTTTCCATTTTGGTCTTTTTGCTTTTGTTTTCTTCTATTACTTTTGTCAACCATAAGCTTTTGCTGATGGCTCTTTTTTTCTATGTTATGATTACTAGCGGTTTGTAAGTTTTTCTTTACAGATGGCGAAAGTGACCTCACAAGCGATGGACATTGGTGGCCAGATCACACCTCTAGGTTTTTCATAAGCTTACTTCTTTTACATTTTATCATTTTAAGGATCACCTATCAATTCGTATGTAGAAATTTCCACAGATCAGCCAAGCGGTATGACCGGAAAGGTACTTAACTTTTCTATTTTTAAACGTTTTTCTTGAAAACTCTCGTAAAACTTTGATTTTGACTTTGTACGAGTTAGTTTAACTCTCAGTGTTCACGATGTTGACAACATTTTGTCGTTTCTTTCGTTAGTTTTTTGCTATCTCTTTCTGCCGCTATTTAAACTCTGAACGTCAGTCGCTTCACTCTCAAAACTCAATCTATTCACAACTAAAACTTCTTTTGCCCATGTTCTTTACTTGGTCTTCTATTTAGTATGTGAATGCTTTTTTTCTAGTTTATTACTTCCGGACCTGATAAGGTGTCTGTTCTTCTATTAGTTGATAATATTTCCCCGTCTTTTTTAGTATAGGATATCAATTAATTTGTCTTTGGACGATTCACTCATCATCATTCTCAAAATTCCTTATCTCTCTTTCTCTCGTTGACCAACAGCTGATTCTTCCCAATCTTTTCGAGTTTTGCACCGTTGATTATCGGCATACTTGCTTTGGAGAAGTGCTGTCTCTTGCTGGGAAACTTTGTTTGCTCATACATAGCTTCTCTCATTTGGCTTCTTCATGGCGATGCTCATTCTCCTTTCTTTATACTTTTTCCTTGAGAGCGATCGTGTTTGTTTGTGCTTTGGCCGATATGATTTCTTTGCTTATCATGAAATACATTCCCGCACAAATTTCTTTTTTATAATCCCCGTTTTTTACATTTTTTTTATAGGTTGAACATGGAACTGAATCTTCAGCCCCTCCTATTGAAGCTCTCCCTCCTATTAACTGGCTTCCCGGAGAAGTTGTAGCCGACACGGCAGCTTTCGTGGGATGTCATTTGGTTCAAACCAACTTTCGGGTATTTTTCCTTTTTTGGTTCTGCAAATCATTTCTCGTTCCAGCTTTGTATTTTTTCGAAAGCTGATCAATCAGTCGCCGTTATTCCTTTGATGAACATTGAATGTTTGGATTTGAGAGATTTAATTAATGTTAGCATCAGTTGTAAAGATGGAAGAGTTTACAGGTAGTAAAATCTGAAACAGCTGAATATGAATTTCTGATCCTTTCCAGAATAACTGCCCCCAGCTATGAGTTGGCAATGACATGGCATCGAAAACTTTTAAAATGCTCTAATCGTTCTAAAACTGAAGATGCTTTTGCTTGGACATTTGCCGAATTTGTATGTTGGCATTGTTTTTTATTTTATTGCTGTTTTGTTCCAGTGTACAAAAGACAATTGTGATTGGCTTGCCGATGAAAACGGCATCGATTCGGATCTATGTCAAGCCGAGTGGAAACGCTTAGATTATGATCCTGATCACTTCACTATCAGTGACATTAACAAGAACTTTGAGTACGTATATTAGTTTTCAGTTTTTTCTATAATTTTCTTTTCAGTTTTGTTGAAACATATCCAAGTCGGCTCGTTCTTCTCAAAAATATCAAAGACGAAGAGATTAGGGAAGCCGCTGATTTCCGCTTCCTTAAAAGATTCCCTGTCGTTGTTTGGAAGAGTAAAGAAACTGTAAGGATCTTCAACACTACTATTCTATTTATTCTAAATGTTATAGAAAGCAATATTATTGCGAAGCAGTCAGCCCAGAGCTGGAATCCTTTCTTGGCGTAATAATAAGGATGAGAAATATTTGAAGTTAATAAGTGAATATATGGCCGCTTACCGTATGTCATATCAAATATCTTCGGAGTCATGTTACGTTATTTCAGATAAGGAAAACGCTCCACGAACAATCATAATGGACGCGAGATCTTATGCTGCTGCCTTTGCTAACCGTGCTAAGGGGGGTGGATATGAAATCACAGGTTTTTGATTCATGAAAATGACGTGTTCTGAATAATAACTCATTTAGATTACTACCCGGGTACGGAAACACTGTTCCTTGGTTTACCCAACATTCATCATGTGAGATATGCTTTCATACAACTTAGAAATTTGTACTCGACACCTGGAGGAAATGACCCTAACACATACTTCCAGGTATGTTTTGTTTGTTATTCGTATGTGAATTTATTTCAATAGTTACAGAATCTTCAAACGACGAGTTGGCTTCAATATACTAGGCAACTGCTTTTGGCCGGATGCCAATGCGCAGATGTTTTACAAAATGGTAGGAACAGATGGATGGTTTAAACTGTAAATGACGAATAACAATTTTAGGAAATTCGGTGTTAGTACATTGCTCAGATGGTTGGGATAGAACAAGCCAGATAGTATCTTTAGCAAAGCTAATGGTTGATGATTATTACAAAACGATTAAGGTTCGTATGTTTCTTCTTATCAACTACTACTACGTGGCTTTCGTCATGATAAGTTGTGTTCTATTGTTGTTACCAACGTTTTCTTCGAATGCTTATCCGGGAAATTGTTGACAACATCGTTGTTGTTACCGCTGTTGACGTTGTTGATCGTTTTGTGTTTTTGTCTTTTGTTCTTTATGTTCGACACTTTCAGGGCTTTTGCGAATTAATCACCCGCGAATGGATTGAGTTTGGACACAAATTCTCAGATAGAAATGGAGTTTCTGGAAACGATGCTAATGAACGATCTCCTATATTTTTGCAATGGATTGATGCTGTTTGGCAGTTATTCTCAGCGAATGAGACATCTTTCGAATTTAATGAAAACTTTTTGGTTTGTTTGAAGATACATGATCCTAATTTCATCATATGTTTTCAGCTGAAGTTAGCTCAACACTCGTATTCCGGCTTATTTGGAAACTTCTTATTCAATTCATCTAGAGATTCCAATAACATGAAGAAGAATTCAATTTCTATATGGCGTTTCTTATGTCTTCAGAATGAGAGTGTCAGTTTTCTACTCGAGTCGGTTTCGTTACGTTCGTTGGTTTTTTAGGTTGTGAATCATCTCTACAAACCTGGAGCCCCGTTAGAATTAGATTTTAGTATCGATCGCATTAAAGTGTGGAAAACATGCTATTGTAATGCTGATTTTCTGAATCTATCGGAGAATACCGCAATTGCATCACCTGTACGACAAGATTTCATTTCTTCTTCTCCGAAGGACAACATCAGCATTCAAAAGAGCAAAAGTTCAGAAAGTTTAAATTCAATTGAACAAAGTTCAATGTCAGTTTCCCATTTCTTACTTGTTTTAATATATCTTGTTTAGGGGAGGTTTTCATACTGAATCTAATATTATGAACGGAATAGGAGAACATGCCCTAGACACGAGTGTTATCGTACGTTTTGATTTCAGACTACTCTCTCATCCTTGTTCATTTAAGTCTGAATCAACTGTACCAGTTCGTCAGGGCTCTCGACATCGTTCTCAAAAGGAGAAAGATCCTAATAAAGTCAAGGAACTTATTGATTCTGATGGTCTCGTTCGTTTTTTTGATAAAATTCAAATACGAGTGCTGGAAAAAGACAAGGAGCATAAAGCGGAAATATCAAAAGCCCAGGTGGAGGCTGATCTCTTGAAGCAAAAACTGGAAGACGTTCAAAACTCAAGTATTCCTGAGTGTGCCAATCGCCAGCGGTATGCCTCCGAAGGAATTCATGACAACAAGCGAAACAGTTGTGGCCGAGTGGTTAGAGCAGCATCCGAAAAATAATATCATAATTTCCTTTTTTAGTATTCAACAAGTGAAGAATCTGAACAAGCTTTGTCACATGCCTATTCGGATATTTCTATTGTGAGTTAGATTATTTGTTTCATTATTATAGATTCTCTGTTATAGATCGAGTCTTCTGAAGCTCTACCCCCTCTAACAACTGGGTATTCTATGGAAAGTGATCGTTGCGAAATTTGCAAGAAATCATTCTCAAAGTTTAGTATCTCAGATGCCAGGCGACATCACTGTCGGTAAGGTTTCGATTTGAAAGCCGATATAATCATTTCATTCAGAAATTGTTGGAAGACAGTATGTGAGACTTGCTCTCCTAATTTATTTCATGTAGTTAACAATGGCCATGGAGTCAAGGAAAGAGTTTGCAACATATGTTACATCAACATGGAAGTCGCTATACCTGAAGGCATTGACTCCCTGGCTGATGATGTTTCTACATGCTCCGATAGCACAACAACTAACATGAAAACCTCCACCTGTTCTGTGGGCAACGGATCATCAACAGCTAACACCTCGTCTGGAAGTTCATCATCCTCATCGTCATCAAATGAGAATCGTCATCGGTCTGACACCTTTGTAAATGGTTTTCGCAATGGAGGCTTAGCCACAACACCAGCCGTGAAAGGCTGAACCATTGTTGTCAAAGACGACTACATACTAGCTTTATACCCTTATGTGGTCCAGGATAATCCCTGTATATTAGGTGTTTGGTGACAGTTCCGGCTGGTTCCGGTGCGATTGTCAGGCTGTTGTTATCCAATATAACCGGTGATTGGTACGTGGTTCTCCGAATTGAATGATTCTGTTCTCCAGAACGGATTTCTCTTGCTTGTATGTTTTGTAAATTCTATTTTCTATGACGGGACATTTGTACCGATCATCTAGTTTCCAAAATCTATCTTAGATCCTTTCGCTATTTGTTTGTTGTTGACAAGTGTTTGTCAATTTCCTCATTTTTTATCGAGGTTGGGTTCATAATTAGCTTTTAAGTGCGTGTTTACAAATCTTTCACTCATAATCCCTATTTGAACCTCTTGTAAAAATTATACATACAACATATATCTATATATATGTATATATATATATGTTCATATATATATATATATAGTAGTCTATATAGATGCAAATCAGCACAACGGTTTCCCTTACTTTATCGTAATCGTGAATACTCATGTTCCTTCTTCCCAATTAACTCGTCCTTTCTTTGTATATCCATAGAATCTGAGAATATTTGCTTCAACTTTTCTCTCCCCCGGACTTCAGCGGGTAGCGTTCCATCCACCGGTGTGTGTCTTTTTAGACTTTTAGACATATTCTGATATCTTGCTCCTTAGTGCTATTATCTTCACTTTTTGCCTCATTGTCTGTGATCCGTCTTGGTTACCCCTCCCCATCGACATGTCCTCCTGATACTTTCAAACTTTGCTTAGTAGTTTCTTCTTGTCTTACGGGGTTTGTAGTACCTAACATAGACGCATGTTTTCAACAAAATACAGCAATTTTCTAACTTTCAGTAAGAGTCTCATAGTTTCACCCTAACCTATTTTGCTAACTTCGTACGGTTGTAAACTGATTGGTTTCTCTTTTATAGACTACTAAACAGTAGTTAGTGTGAGATACGATCTGGTTTTTAAGAATGTTTTATCACCTAATGTATTTTCAATTTTCGCTGATAGGACGCATTAGTTACGAGAAAAATGTCGAGTATACCTGGATAAATTTGCTCATTCGGAGTCTGTTTTAATATTATATGTAAATAAAAAATATTTTATTGCTTTTGTATAATATATACATTTGAAACATATATATACATTTAAGGAGATATAAGTGTATGGTATGTAAAGCTAAATATGATCATAAGATGTCAATAGCAGCTGACTTGAGCAACAGCGGTGAAGATCTGACAGTAGGAATACCCGGCAAGGACAGCGTGGTGTTCCACCATGCTATGTTAACCGTGATTTTCTGTTATGTTCACTCCGGTCCGTCGGTATTCTTCCTCCGCATTCCTTCTCATTGTTTCTTCCACTAAAAATAGTTATTCAAATTTCCAATTGCCCGCGCGCGCATCACATGCTAATTCTAATTTATCATTCATTTGACAGATGTGGAATCTGGTGGCAGTTTGTGTATGTTCAGGGATTCTAAGATGTTCATCCCTTTGAATCTAATTTTTAGTAAATTTCTTCCTAAGGAATTGGCAGTGTAGAACAGATGAAAAAAACATGAGATTGACTAGAAGTTTTTCCTCATTCCTCCAATGAATCCCATGGCGAAGCCGAGAGCCGCATGGAAAAATAAAGGATTCACTTCGTCAAAATACATTCTCATAGCGATTTCATATCCCGCCGAAAAATATTTCGTTGGAGCGTTCGTTCCGTCTACTTCGGATAGGAAAAGCAATTAGATGCGAAATTGAAAAAAATATATATTTCCTGTAATGAGCGAAATGAATGTCTTTGTTGAATGAATAAATTGCAATTTAAAGGTGTGCCCGTGAGTTTGAATTGTTCTCAAACAAGTCGGGATTGTAGGTTTTTTCCTAATCAAAAGCAATGTTGCTTTCCCAAAAAAGGTTTGCCGAACAATTGCAAAAGTTTTCATCGGAGTTTGTTAAACGAACATTTTTTTCTTCTATTCAACCGACGAAACAGAAAAATAGCGACCTTTCGTCTTAGGTTTGACGTAACAACGGTTTATGCAAACTCTTTTTCTCTTGCACATTGTGACATTTATGATGCATGGGAAAGCGAACTATTAACAGAGTCTTGAGCTAGAAGTAGCAATTATGAGAGGAAGAAGCAATTAGGCTTCCCCCAGATTTATTCAGTCAATTAATGAAATATTATATTACATATATCGCAAATGCTCGGGATGAACCGAGAATTATAAATGTAAGCGCTGATCTAAAATTCAAATTTCCGCGCCACGAAAGTTTATAAGCGGAAATGCTTTACGAGGGTTCCTACCATTCAAACTTTCTTATTCCATCCTTATGCAATAGATGCTCCATTGCGAACTCTCTGTGCTCTTTTGAGATTCGATTATTTGTTGCTGTTTTGTCAACTTTGACGTCACTAGCATAATAATCTTTTTTTGAAAAAATGCTCCGAAAAGTCTTAAAGAGTATTGTTATTCTTAATCCAAAGCAAAAGCGGATGAGACCAGCAAGCTACTGTTTATGTATTCAGTATTAGGTGGGATCTTCAATTCCGATTATTCTTTTGCAATTCACTCGAGAATGCCGATGATTTGCGGTCTATGCTAATGTGGTTGCGTGTGATATGCTAATGTAGCTCCACGTGAGAGGAAAGATTGTATTTGTTAGTGACCTAAGTGTATAAAGCGGTTGCATTCAATTCTACTAGCATTCACGTCTGCACCTGAGAAATGAATTTCCTGTTTTTTGCAGCTGAATTGTTTAATTACTTGTGATTTGATATAAAAATAGGAAACAGATGGTTAGGTAATTTGTGTTGAGGGAAAAAGTGTGTGGAGGAGAACACTTTGCATATTATATTCCAATGTAAGCGATTTTTTTTCAAAATAAAAAGTAAGAGTAGCTTACCCATTAAGTCTATTTTCTTTCCTAGTGCGAGAGAAAATGCAACTAGACCCAGTGATATGACGGTGAGAAGAATAGCAACAACAGCAACAACCCTTTTCACTCGTTTTTGGTTGTGTTCCTGAAATCAGAGGTGAATAAGTTATGTGTGTATATCACTTTCTGTCCAAAAAGAAAGATTCAAAAAAAAAGTTGGTTCTCTAGCTTTTGTTTTCAAGTACATTACTCAATAAGATTGCTTTGCGCTTCATTGGATTACTTACCAGGTTCAGAATGATTCTTCTTCGTGAAACCGAAAAAGAAGATGGATACGGAAAATTATGCTCGAAGTTGAAACTTGAGTCAATTGTTCAACTTGTTCCGTTGTCCTGAGCACATGTTGTGTTCTATCATGAAACAAAAACATTGCCCCCCTGAGTCGCGAAACAACTGGATGAAAAAAAAAATTTCTTCTTCTGAACTTTGTTTTGAAATTTTAATGACAACTAAACGTGTTTCTTGATTTCTCCAGACTTGCAAATCTACAGCAAGTTATGAGGTCAACATATGAAAAAATGTAATGTAAATTAATAGAAAACTCTTTTGCACATTCTAACGAATCAAAATATGCCAGAAATTGAGATATAAATGAGTCTGAAACGTCAAGTTTATGTAAAAACATGAAAAACGTTTCATTCATGTTTACTGGTCGTATGATGAAAGACAAATTTCACATAATGATTCATGTAATTTGAAGTGTATTGTGTGTTACTGCTGCTCAGTCGATAGATAACCCAGCAGATTACGAACCCGCACTTATATCTCGGAACCTTCTCATCCAATATGTCTAGGACAATGCTTTTAAGCGCTAAGAGTTCTGACTGACAGTCTATTTGGCATTACTCAGATATGCTAGTCGACAATTTGCTCGAAATTAATGAAAAAGCACTATGCCAAAACAAATAGCGATGTGTGGTCATGGAAATCTATTCGGCTTGAACAGAACTCATGTTTTTTGAGTTACGTTCTCTTTCTCTTTTTACTCTCGGTTAGGTAATGGATGTATAATCAAAATCATCGGCATGTGATTGTAGCTGAATTCAAATGAAAGAGAAAGCGAGTGAAAGAGGAAGAAAGAGGATCTGAATGTATTCATGAGCTCTGGGATTTTGCTATTTTTAACTTTCCAAGTTTGATATACTTTCCAGACGACCTGGCTATGTCATCGGGGGATCGTGTACTATTGCTTAATCTTCGTAATTTCAGATGCAACAAAAAACGTTTTTTTAGCGAACAGGGTATCAAATATCTGGTAAGACCTCTACTATAGCTTTCTAATCATCAGTTTAGCTGAGGAAGTCTTTCATAACTGAATATCCGGGTCTAATCCGGAAACTATGGAACAGAAAGTATTCATTATCTTAGACAGCATCGTCTGCTTGGCATAAATTTACGCCGAATTTTCATTTTCTGTAGTTCTCTCATAAAAATGTACTTGAAAGGTTAATTCAGCTTTCGGAAAAATAACGACAAACTTACTTTCAACTGCTGAATCTCAATATCAGATAGCTCGTACTCCGCATACTGTTCTTCCTCCGTCTTTGCGGGGTTGTACATAATGGTCGTTGGAGTGACGTAAGATTTGGTGTAGATGCAAACCTTAACTAGCAACACGTCCAAAAATACACAAAGCAGCTAGCTATGTAGACTTCCAGCTTAGAAGAATGCTTCCAGGGCGGGACGAAGGAGGCGGAGCCGCTCCGCAGCCGCTCGCTCTACTCATGACGTATAAGTTTGACAGCAATATAAATGAAAGTAATCACGAATGATTTCCACCAGAAGTCATGATCATAGCGTTTAGGATGCCTTATGATTCGTTGAAATTATCTACTGCTTTAGAGTGTTTAGCGAGACCTTCTGATAACTTCTTTAATGTCAACAGTGTTCATAGACCAACAACGAAATCAAAGGCTCAACAATAGATATTTGCCTCTTGTAATAACAATAGAACATTTGAAACAACAACAGTGTTAAAGATTGAGTTTAACTTTAGTACTTAACAATATAACAACTTCACAATGTACATCACTCACTATCGGAACTGCTACTCTCTTCCTTAGCTTCCTTCTTGATCTTCTTAGCTGGAACATCCTCATGCATAACTTCGGTTTTCTTCTCGAACTTAGCGGACAATGAGCTCTGAAAAAAAAAGTGTGAGGCAGGTTCGCATAAAGAAAAGGATTGACCTTGGCTTCTTGTTTCTTCTTTGAGGCAACTGGACCAAGACCCCACTTTCGTGGATAAACATCTCTCTCCATGATAACTCTCTTTGATTTAGCAACAGTTCCGTGATCAACAGATGCGATTGTGGCTGTTGTCATTTGAGCAATAGCTAGAAACATGATATGTCCAGCAAAGCAGAAAAGGCAGAATTCTCACCAATACAGATAGCTTCTCCCTTAGTAGAAACGATAACGATTTCTTGTCCAATTTCGATACCATCATCGAATCGAAGAACTCCAGGAATCAAAATCTTGGCTCCGTAACAGACGGCGTTAATCTACAAGTTGTTATATTGATATGTCAGATGAAGTGGGATATTACCGCACTGTCCTTGATTACAACTCTCTTGTGTTGAAGAAGTAAAGCTTCAAGTGGTCTTACTATTCTTCTCATGTATGTCTCATCCTTTAACAATTCATAAGTTTTGCAAATATAATGAAGTGAAAAACCTTTTGGTGATCCAAGAGATATTGAGCATCAAGAATATCGTGCATGGTGACAAGTTGGTCATGTTCATCAGTAATACCAGATCTGAAATCTCACAATAACATTAACAAACAAGAAGTTGAAATTACCTGTTACGTCTGAGTTCTTGCATTTGTCCTCCAACACCTAAAAGAATTCCTAAATGGACGCAAATAGTACGGACGTAAGTTCCAGATTCGCATTTCACCCTGCAAAGTTTGAACTCTCGAAGAAAGCTTGATTACAACATACCAGAAAATTCCCATCTGCTTTTCAGCATCATACTCGATCAATTTGTTTTCATAAACAGTTCTAACTCTAAGCTGACGTTTGACAGCAGAAATCAAAGGTGGTCTTTGGAAGAGAGCTCCGGTAAGCTGAAGAAACAACTGGTAAGCGACAAGTGAATGATCCTACTTTCTCTAGTCCTTGCTTCACTTTCTTCTCGCTACTGACAATATCGTGGAGCTTGAAAATACAAACGTATTCTTTACCAGCTCCTTGCTGAGACTTGGCCAATCGTGTAGTTTTGTCAATACAAACGATGAGACATCCTGATACCTAATGAATATATCCGTTATACAATCAAAAAAAGCAAAAATTCACTTTAGGATCGAGGGTACCACTGTGACCGGTCTTTTCAACCCTCATAATTCTTTTAATCCAAGCTACTACTTCATGAGAAGAGGGGTTGGCAGGCTTATCCAAGTTGAAAAATCCATTAGCAATATAGTTTCTGATGTCTCGCTTCAAAGGAGAGCATCCTTCGATAGCAGGAGTATAATGGTTTGTTCGCACGTTGAGCTTGTCGTAATTCTTTAAAAATTCACAAATAATTAAAAAATAAAAACAAAAGGTGGAATACCTTCAACAACAGTGGCCACTCAGAAGCGTCAAGCTTGGGCTCGGCGGTTGATGATGGCAACTGGAAGCTTTCACTGCATTGTACTTCCTAAAAAGAATAACATTTGTTCAAAATTTCTTTCTCTATTTTTATATTAACGAACCGCAACGTCTTTCTCAGACTTTTTCTTATCCTTCTTCCCCATGATTCTGAAGTATTTTCATTAAAGAATTATTTTTTTTAGAGCTAATAAATGCAAAAAGCGCATGAAGTAAATATTTTAATTTCCTATTACATCTCATTCAATATTTTCGAAATATAAAAAATTGAGGTAAGAATAATAATTAAATGATCAATATCAGATCAAATCAACTAAATATAGCATCAAATATGTAAAAAAGTACATTGCGTAGCAGCCCATTGCGTACTTCCACGTCATTATGCAAGGGTTGCCGCGCAGAGTATTTCGAAAATTCGTTTGGCGCTCATTTAGCTCGTCGTCTCTCTATGTACGTTGCAAGAGAGTCTACGAACATGTTCCGCTGTGCATTTCTTCAGTTTTTTATTTATAGATAACATATAAGAAATATTTCTCTCCTTATACATCTTAATAAATATATATATATATTAAACTATGTATATATAGTTAATAAATATTGCGTAATTATAACAAGTTCATCAGTTTCGTTACAGAACTTTCTAGAATGGCTGAGATTCCAACATTTAAACTTGTTCTCGTTGGAGATGGTGGTACCGGTAAAACAACCTTTGTCAAAAGACATCTTACCGGAGAGTTCGAAAAGAAATACGTCGGTATGTTAATATGAAACACAACAAATTATTTAATAATTAAAACTTACAGCAACTCTCGGAGTAGAAGTCCACCCTCTTGTTTTCCACACCAACAGAGGACAAATTCGTTTCAATGTTTGGGATACCGCTGGCCAAGAAAAATTCGGAGGTCTCAGAGACGGTTATTACATCCAAGGTAATACTATTTCGTATCAAAAAAGTTACAGTTTTGTATCTATTTAGGGCAGTGCGCCATCGTTATGTTCGATGTAACTGCTCGTGTTACTTACAAGAATGTTCCAAACTGGCACAGAGATCTCGTTAGAGTTTGCGAGAACATCCCAATTGTTCTTTGCGGAAACAAGGTTTTGATTTTTTTTTTAGATAATACTCAATGCTTTCTTTTTCAGGTTGATGTCAAGGATCGTAAAGTTAAGGCCAAGACCATCACCTTCCACAGAAAGAAGAATCTTCAATATTACGATATCTCGGCCAAATCTAACTACAACTTCGAGAAGCCATTCCTTTGGCTCGCTCGTAAACTTCTCGGAGATCCTAACCTCGAGTTTGTTGAAATGCCAGCTCTTGCTCCACCTGAGGTATGAAGTTATCGATTGAGTTTCGCAATGAGTCATTTTCTTTTCAGATTTCTATGGATCCTGCCATGATCAACCAATACGAAGAGGATCTCAGGCGAGCTGCTGAAGCTGATCTTCCCGACGACGATGACGATCTCTAGATTACCCTGTGCTCTCATATTTATAGCAATGTTTTTTTGACAAGTATCGTGGTCGATTTTTATGATTTAACACTTTGTGAACTTAACGTGTATCTTCATGCTGATATAATTCTTGTAGTGTTCGTTAATATTTTCAATGAATCAGTAATTTGCATTGGTTGTCAAGTGTTCAATAGTAGACAAGCCTGAGATAAGGAAGGGCTCCTTTGATAGATAGATTTTCGAGTAATGCTTTTCGAACTATGTTCCTATTTTTAATAATCGATTTGGTGCTGTCTGTTGGACATGCTAATCTTGCGAGTGTTATGATGTTGGATATTTTTCTGCTAATGAAAATTGTCTCGGATAAAGGAACAGGGGGGTATTTCTGCTTGTTTACATATTATTCACTGTAGTTTTATTTCGGTGAAATTAAATTCGAACATCACATGCCCTCTACACCTGACCCCTTGCTCACCTGTCCTTTCTAAGGTTTGAGTCAAGCGCCAGGCGTGGATGACAGTGATTTATCGATAAACACATCAATAAGCAACGACTTGAAGTTACATGTTAGCTGGAATAGTTCGTGACTTCGACACTTCTTGGGAATAACTAGAAATCTGTATGAGTAATATTAGACAACCGAAGGCTTTCCAAATTGTATAGAGACGAAGCAGTTATTGAGCCGTTGCTCCTGTGCCGGCGCTGCTGCCGCGGCTGCTGCCCGGCTCGCCGGTGGAGAGGGAGGGGCTTGAATCAGCTTAGCCTGATGTATGTCCATATAAGAAAATAGTGGTGAGGGGCAGACTGAATAAAAGGCGGGATATTAAGAGAGAGAGGAGGGAGAGAGAAAAAGCTGGCCAAAATGAGAGAACAGCAAGCAGCTAAACTAATTATGAATTTTTCTCTTTTTTTTGTATGAAATATGGAAAGCCGTTGGCTATGAGAGCGGGTAGAAAAGGATGGATGCTTCTCGAAAAGATACTCTGGCTGCACGATTGATTCCCCTGAATGCTTTTCTTGAGGGTTGCTGACTTCATCAGCTTCTATATTTCTCTCACGCTCTCTGTTTTGTCTTTCTCTCTCATTTATTCATCCTTACTCTATCATCTTCATCTTCTCTCTTTCTCTTCATCTGCCTTAATTAGAAGGCGACGATGGACGATGCTCACGAGAGCATAAGATGGATAGGCAAGAATGCCAAGCATCGACATTTTCAGTAGTAATGATCACCAACTTCGTTAAATTCAACCTTCATGTCATCTTGCGCTAATGAACAAAGAGTAATCTATAGCACAAAAGCGGACTGCCATAAAACACGACAACAAAAAAACTAAAAAAAGGAATGCTGCCGATTAGATCATGAACGGCGTATGATAGAGCTGAGAGTCTTCAGACTGCAAATGTTATTTGTAAGCTGCCGTCGTGAGCAGCAATCAATGTCGTTCTGACCATAAATGGGCATGGGGCTTCGAGGCGCTTGGGTTTAATGACGTAGTATTGGTTTGACTATTAATTAAGCTTATTAAGTATACGTTCGAATGCTAGAGATAGAGCATTTCATGAAGGTCAACAAAAGGCAAATAAGAAAATGAGCTCTGGAGAACGGAAGGAAATGCGGAGTGAAAGACAGCCGAGGAACATTTGTAGCAAACGAGTCCACCGACTTCAAGCTTTCAAACTTTGTTTCAGATATGCAGACAAAGTCTTCGTCGGCTAGTCATAGTTCAATTGGATGGAAACGGAACGTTCCAAAGACATGCCTACGAGTGGTTTTTCAAGTCATACAAAGGCCAAAAGTAAGCTGCTGGTCGATTTGTTGACGGCAGTTAAGCTTGAAATGCTCAGCAGCAGTGGTAGCGCTCGTTCTTCAATTTTTCACGACTTCTACAAAGAGATCAAATAAGATGCAGAGAAGGGGAGACTGAGAGACAACCTTAAAAGGAAGAAGGATACAGCAATGAAAAGTAGAAGAGGAGGGAAATAGAAAGCTGGGCCCATTGTGAGTTGCACGAGACGCATAGTTAATAACCGAAGCCGTATTTGGATCTGCTTGTAGAATGAACAAAGCGAACGAAAATGTGAAAAAGCCGCGAATCGCCAAAATAGGAGAAAAAAAATTAAAGATTCATGCTGAGGTTTTTCATTATTAAAATATCCCGCCTGCCATTGTTTGGAGCAAGAAGAAGAGGACGCAACAGAAAAGAATTTGATGAAACAAATGCTATTAAAGATTTCTTTTATATACATTTTTGAAGACAAACCGAAGATTCTTATAATAGCATCTGTCGTCTGTTGCTGCTGCTAGTAGATGTCCTCGTATGGCTTCCAAAATTGAAAGTCAGATATTGAATTACGAAAGTTGTCGAGAATACGGGTTGGAGAGCTGAGTGACGAAAGGCACGGAAGATGGAAAGACTCTGGCTGGATGGTTGTATGCGGCTGACTGACTAGACGTAATTGCTCACTCCGCCCTTTCGTCCTTCCTTCTCTGGCTGTCTGTGGACCTCGGTGGCCAAGTAGCGCTCATCTACACCAGCATGCACAGCATCAAGGCTATACTGGATTACATGAAAACATAAGAGGAAAATGAAGAGAGAAAGCGAGAGTGCTATGAAGAAAAAGGAAAATTGAGAGAGTTGGAGCGGAACAAACGGGTGAATATTTCTTAAGGAATTAGATGGCAAGTCAAACACACAGAATATCAAAACAAATGAAGTAGAGGAAATACGGTCGGAAAGAAGTTGTTGTAGTTTTCTCCTCTCCACTCTACATAATTATGGAAAATAATAGAAAGGCAATTGTAAGGTTGGTCAATCTGGAGGAGAGATAGAAGAATTTGGTGGGAAAGGATGGGAAACGGACAGTCCTGTGCACATTCATGACAATGCAGTTACAAAAGTATACTTCGTTGTAATTCTTATGGAGAGGAATTATAACTAAAAACGAGCACAAGGACACCACCCAAATGTGTTCCGACCTCGCTGCCGCTTGTCACTTAGGTTTGACTATACATAACTGGGAAGCATGATGAGAGGAAGGAAAGACTAGAAATTGGAAGACGAAGAAGAAGAAGAAGAGAAAGATAGATGATCGTGTGATTCTTCGTTTCTCGACTGGGCCCATTCGTTTTGCCTCAAACAATTCTCTTCCAATTTGTTTTCGAGAGCAAAATTGTATCGGGCAAAGATAGTATTACTAATACTTACTCGAATTAAACGATTGCAGAGAATTGTTCAAATATCTGTCATGGTCAGGCCCACTCTCCATTAGACATATCCATATTAGCTATAGAACAACTGCGTTTAAAAAAGAAGAGACGAAGCGTGAACATGAAGCTATAGTAAAATGGAGACAGATCTGAATTAATAAAAATGAGAAGAAACCTAGGATACTGGCACAGAAGAAGAAAAGAGAGAGAATATGAACGAGCCCAACAACGGATATCATATAGCAGACAGTGGATGAAGAGTAATTGCACGAGAGACAGTTTACCTTGATTACGATCGTTTCCGTTTTGTCGTAGACTGTCTAGATATGCAGCATTTATGACAATAAGGAATAATATTTCGAGAATTATATTGTATGATTTACAACATGCAATATGGCCTTTAAATATTTCGAAATAACAGTATTGTCGATGTTTTACTCATTGCCGTTGCTGTTATGAGAAGGAAAATTCGATGAAAATGACATTCACTTCATAGTCCTTTGGATCGATGGAATGCACTTAGATGAGAAGAGTAAGCTTAATCGGGTGCAAGGCAGCTTGAGCAAAGATCAATTTATAATAAATATATTTCGTGTGACAAAACAGCTAAATAAAACCTCATGTGAAGGAGAGTGGCAGCAGACGATTTTCTTTTTAAGAAGAAAAAGAAGAAGAAAAAGAGAAACTAAAAACGAAATAAAACACATCGTAGCCGAATGGACTAAGCGGGGTGCGAAAGTAAAATGAAAGAAGAGGAGAAAAGGCGACGATAACAGCCTCAGAAGGATATGTTTGTAAGAGCATACAGAAGAAAAATGGAAGAAAAGGAGAACGGAAGAAATGAGATGAGGACAAGCGCCTATTGTTGCCGTATATGGTCGGCTGTATGCGTGTGTATTGAGAAGAGAAAAGAATAGCAAATGCAAAAACGGGAGGACGACATGTAATGCGAATATAGAAGTGTAAATGGATAAGCGAGAGGCAAAGAAGGTTATGAAGGTAACGCAATGAAAGAAAGGCTTGCGAAATACTCTATTTCTTTCTCCTTCTCTCTCTCTCCCTCTCTCTCTCTATAATATAATATAAATATACAAATGAAGCGAGGACGATAACTGACTTGTTTGCGCTGCAATTGCACCTCTCAGCATTCACTACCGAACAAGGTGAAGGAGAAGTGAGCGTCATTGAGGAGAAAAACATATCGTTGTCATACAATATGTCGTATCTTCTCTAAAGCAACCGTACTGTGTTCTTCATAGTCTTGTTTTCACAAACTATATCTATATATCTATATATAAATATTGTGAACATGCGTGGTATTCAGAAGTATACTGAGCTGCTTCAAACTCGGTTCTTGTTTTCATCACATTCAGCTACATCCATTTGATATTTGAGAATTAGCTCTAGCAAATTTCCTCATTAGCCACATTTCTGTCTTCACCGTGTGGTCCATGGCTTTGCTATTTTACTTCATCACTACGATCGGAGGAGAGCATAGTCTACCATACGAATATATTGTCTGATATTACATCCGGAAAAAAGATAATAAGCAAGTTATACAGGGTAGAGAGAAAAGAGCAAAAGCGGCGTTTTTCATTTCTCCTATGATATTCGCATTCCTAACACTTATAGGAAGTTCATTCTTAATTCTCGCAAATTCTGAATAATGAACGTCTGAGAGATTAAACCTGGAAAAGGGGTTGAATAATCTCTTTAATACTAAATTATATATCGCTCACCGCTTCTTTTGAGTGTCAAGCACTAACTCATAGAAGTCTAATATTTTCATAGTTGTACCGCGTCCACAATAATTTTCATAGCTGGGATGTAGACAACGTAACGTACACAACTTGGGTCTGAATAGGATAGTTCGAGATAACATAAATTAAATCAAGACGAAAAGATCTTACTCAAAATTGATTCTGCTCCGCCACTCCAGGTGGATACTAAAGTCATCCTCGGTTGTATTGCATTCATGAGCGCAATGACTGACATCGAGTTTCTTGAGACACTCTTCCAGATAGGTGAGCTCTATAAGAACCGTAAGTTCAATCAGAGATAAGAATATAAATGCCTTTAATTTTTGCACAAATTGGCTCGTTAAAAGAAGCATATTCGCTGTCTATTGGCGCTAACAAATCCAATTGCTCTGTGCATGTTTTTAGACAAGGAATCAATCTTCAATAAAAGTCAATAGGATTCTAAAAACGGAACTAATTTCATACGTATTGCAATATATGGAAACGGCAGAGGAATCACTTTTCTGAAAATAAAAACGAATTTTCCAAATGAGGTAATGCATGCCTGTTCACTCGTCCATTGAATACAGCGGTCAACACAGGGATGAGAAACGGAATAGAAATTTTGTTTTATAGCTTCCGCAAAGCATAGACTACAAAATATGAAAATATTCCAAATAAAGCTCCAGCTTACTAATTAATTAGCAAAAAAGGGAAAAGTCGTTTCGACATTACTTGAACAGCCGGTTTGTTATTCGCGGCGTCGCAAAAATGAAAAAAAAACCCGTGAGTTGACAATTTTTTATTGATGCTGTCATACAAGAGTGCTAATTAGCATAAGTATAAAACCCGTGAGTATACCAGGTAAGTAGAAAGTAGAAAAAAAGTAAGAAAATATAAAAATTCCTGATACGCAATGAAGGCCCGCTTGATTGTAAATTTACACGTATTTAAAGCATTTTTGTTTATCTGCCGGTAACCTCGTTTTGAATAAAACTGAATCAGCTCGATACTGAGAGAATCTGAAAGCAATTATGAAGTCAAAGACCTTTTCCAGAGAACTCAGACTCCATTTGTACTTCAAAAGGGCCCGAAAACGTACTTTAATGGATTATATCCATAAATCTTGGTGAACAATCGTATACATTCATGTCTCTTTTGAAAGTGGTCATTATCCTCTGATAAAGTTTCTGTACATTGAGCACATCTGGAAGTTTTATTCAAAAAGGAAATGGAAGAGTTATTAGGGGAACAACCTTAAAGTCCATTTGCTTGTCGTTTTTATGGGAGGCTTCCGAGTTAAATGACTGACAAGGAAATTCATTGCAATGTCTTCACAATTCATGACCTTATCTACGTGATCCCGGATTTCTGCAGGCATACCCGAAGTATAGGAATTAAGATATGACTGAACATAATATCTGAGAGAACAAGAGTCTAGAATCCAAACCTTATGCAAGAAAGAAGCCCCTGTCAATATCAAACTGAGTTGACATGTATGATTACTGTTGTAGAACATTGAGTCTCCGAAGCGAGCATGGAATCGAGCTGGAAATCCAACGATCCTATCTCTATTCTCCCTCCAAACTCTGAAATAACGAGATAAGGAATTTGATTGCAGAGATATTTACCTGAAGGCAAAAATAATCTCATAGTGCTTTAAGTCAATGTCATCATCAAGAGAGAGGACCGACTCAGTTTCTATTCTATTCCATGGGATGAATCTATTGTTCAGACTATTTTTATCAACTTTCAGAAATCTGAAACAGTTTTTTCAGTCGAAAAAAAAACTGAGTCTCTTCTAACTCGACAGGAACATGTAGACGAGGCCATGCACCTGCAGGACTTCGATCAAGATTGTGCCAAATGACGATAACCTTTTGAAGGTAAGGAAGTCTATGAAGTCTTTCTAAGGCTGCTGCTAAAACTGTATCCCGCTTGTAGGTTAAAATAACAACTGTAAAACTTCAGAAATATACAAATGATGTTTTCTTTCAACCTGTAAACTGTTCTCGAGGCCTATTACCTCCCAAATTCTTACTAAACTCAACACCAGATCCCGGTTCGATGGCTCTGAAGCCTGAGTTGGAATCAGGGTAAAACTCAGACTCGGTGGGTGGATCAACCGAAAACGGCAAATATTCCGAACCGACATCTGATCCAGCATAATCATTCCAAATACGACTCGAGTACTGAAAACATCCGGTTCAAAACTGCCAACTTAGCCAAGACATACCAATTGTAAACTGGTGAAATTGTGCAAATAGCGTGCTGATTCATGTGGTGCTTCAAGTGGCCCTAATAAAAAAATAAAATATTTAAATGACAAGTGATTCATGCCGAGATATTCGTCATCAAATGGTTGAAGGTTAACAGGGACTAGGACGGGAGCGGTGAATGATTGATCAAACAACGGGATTGCCTGAAAGCCCAATCTTCTGTATATATTTTGGTACAGACATACTTCAAACTGATGCAAAGGATACAAGGGGACACCAATTTTGTGAGCAAGGGATGTGAGTAATGTTTTAACAACAACTGAAGAGAAGCATAAGCAAAAACTATATTGATGTTAAACCTCTTTGATCCATCAAATACTTTTCGAAGAAGATCCTGCCCATCCGTTTCATTTCCAGAACGTCGGCCATTTCGAAGGAACGTAGAATGAAATGAACTTCAGGGAGGCGAGTGATATCCAGACGGTAAGAAGCCAAACGCCAATCAACAAATGCTAAAAACAAATTATAAAAAAACATAGCAGGGTCATAAACTCACCGTCAAAGGGCAAAGGATATGTGTTGGAAAACACAATAGGAATGCAACCTGAAGCCAATGACTCCCAAAAATTCTTATGGAAATCATTATCCGGCATTACAAAACAGAATACAGAATCCAATCTTATTTTCTCTGCAATTGAAGTTGAGAAGAAGATGCTCCGAGGCAGATATACTTTTGAGTTCAGGCTTTTCGCATAAGGTGTTTGCAGACCTCAATTTACATCTTGTAATACTAACAACGTCACTAGAGTTTCTAGCTGATGCAAAGATTTTATCAATATCTTCATCTAAAGACTTCTTATCAAAGATAGTTTCGTCAAAAAGAACCCAGGAAAATAAAAACTGAAAGAATGAACCTAACATATACAAATGAAAGATGAGTAACCTTTCTAGAATATGGCAGGAGAGTTGGAAGCTCTTTCCATCTTTGAGGATCGAAAATTGGAATGTTCAAATAAATTGATTCATCAAAATATCTAAAACATTCTCTGTGAAATGTGGTACTCAATCTTCTCTACCGTCTCCTATTCAAAGGTTGTACAAGGATTTCATCACTTATACGCTTTGTGGCATTTCCGAAGTTCAGAACAACAGTATTCAAACCATTATCCTGAAGCCAATCTTGTTCGACAACAGAGTTCACTACAATAATCTACAAGATAATAGTAAAATCACATGAAATTATCGAAAACAAGTAGCTTACTGTAAGACAAGCTTTCTTTCTATCCTCAACAATGTTTCCTTGACGCTTCAGTTCCTCAAAAAATGAATGAGGCTCTCCATAACTTTCGAGAAACAAAGGTAAAAAAGAAGTGATTGAACAGCGGCTGAAACTTTTGACTATTTTGATTGAATATTGAAGGAGAACCTGTAGTCGAAGACTTCTTCATTCGTTGAACGGATAAGTTCTGTCTTTTCATTGTGAGTATCTTCTCTCGTTCTGCAGTGTAGAAAAACTTTAAAATTTGAAGAAAAACACATACGGTGAATGGAATAAAGGTGAATGTGGAAGAGAGACTCTAACATTTCGCCGATCTTTCAAATCTTGAAGGGCTCTCTCCGCACTTTCTTTCGCTTCATGAAGGAGTTGTAACTCTTGTTCTGAAAAACGATTCTTGTTAAAGAAATATTAGTATTTCAATTCTAACGTTTCTCTGGAATTTTCCTATTTAAATCGTCAATGATTTTGTTGACTTCCTCTAACTTTTTCGAAGAGTCGAGCAATTCCCGTCGAACTGACGCCAAAATTCTGAAAAAAATGAGCTTCGATCATTAAGTGCTCAAATTACCTTTTCTGTTCTTTCATTCGAACATCAAAAGAATGTCCATTACAATCTGATTCACCATCGTTATAGTATCTGAAAGGTTTCTCTTAATTTTACACTTGATTCTGTGTGTTACTTGTAAGACACTTTTCCTGAACGAGGATACCTCGCGCCACATTCTAGAGCATAACTCCCGCTAACATAGAGTAAAACAAAGGTATAAATAAAGAAAAGAAAGGTTAGTAGGACTAATTTCACGTTTAACAGGCCATTGATAATGGCACCAGGCAGACCAACATACATCCGCACCAATTATTCACAACGGTGAACATCAAAAGCTTTCAAATTCAAATTTTACGAAGGCGACAGTAACCGCTGCAATGACGTGGGAAAGAAAAGGTCATTTGCGTATATCATGTAGTTTGAAATCTCCTGTTCAGAGATTAAGGAAGTGAGCATCCTGTAAACGTCATTTTTAAAGAAGATATGAGATTCGGAATTCAGAACATATCATAAGAAGCATCTTGAATATAGTGACGATGAAGAGGATCATGTTCCAACGCCTCCGATAAGTGCCACCAGAAATCCGATTTTCATAAGCTCTTAATGGATCTAAGAAAAAACGGTTATCGGAGATCTCTGGATCCAAAGTGAAAAAATCGTGCAGTAAAAAATTAAATTTTGAAGTAGCGACTGGGCTCAGAAGTAATTCCATTTATTCTTTTTTCTTGAAATCTGAGTAAAATCCTCATGTTTCAACTGATTTCAATATTTGGTTGTCTCTTAGTATTTCCAGATATTCGTATGCCAATGCAAAAGAAGGTACTATTTTTCGACTGAGGATGACGCAGAAGGAATCTAATCGGAAGTGTTGCTTTATTATTCATCTGAATAAAGTCAATGAGGGAATTTGAGAAGCCCGGAGGAGGTCAGCTTTTATATACAGCCGAAGAGAGAACGGATCATTTCTTACTTCAACGTTTGGCGATATGAACCAAATCTTCATCCCTGTTTTAGCTCTTTTGACATTAAGTGCAGGTAGTCTTTTTATTCTATGTTTTTAATCTAACCCGATGTTTTTTTACAGAACTAACTGAAGCAGCACCCCCTCTCAATGGCAACAACTTCATGTCATGTATGTTTTGCGACACAGTGACTGATGCCTTCGAGACTGAAGTCACTCCTACTGGGGTCATTCAAGCTATGTTCAGGTAAATCTTTATCTTTTACATATTTTTTTAAACCTGATTTTTTCAAGAACTTGCAATCGAATGGGTCTAATGGAACCAATATGTGACAACTTCATTACCGTACACGGCAAACAAATTTTACTATTAGCAAGATCTGGTGTTCCACCATCAGAAATTTGTGGGCAACTTTTGAACTGCGAAAGGAATTAACGGAATATCCAAATAGTTCCTCATTTGGTTTTGTCATATATTTTCTTTGCTCCATAAAGATTTGACTGTGTTAGCCGTGTTGTTTTCATCTTGAAGGAGTTGTGTTAAATTCCATTTAATTACTTGCTTTTCCTGACTTTTCTCTGATCGCTGAACTTCAGATGCAAGATTCTCATGAAAAACATGGCTGAAACGAGTTCCCAGTATGGATTCCTCAAAGTAATTTTTCATACTACATATTATACGGCATCGAAAAATGGTTGAAGCTGTTTTCTATGAACTGTTTTCGGGAGAGAATTCGTATGTTTCAGTTTATATCTGCTAGAATGAATTGAACTTGCTGGCAACCGATGATTTCAAATCATGTTCTCGTATTTCTTTTCACATTTTACGCAATTTGAGGTAAACGGGTAATCCATCAGCTGTCTGTTTTGCCCAAAATAATCAACGGAACTGCCAGGAACAAGCGGATACTTGACCGTTCCACTTAGGAAATCGGATTGAAATCGAAATGACAAAAGGCAATCCGGTCTCCATCAAGATTTACCTTTGTTTCGGACTGAAGCACGAACGAGAACCCGTTGTTGGGAGGGGAGAAGCCGCCTATTGCGCAATCCCCTAATCATTCCGTAGAAAACAGTCCAGCGTGAAAAGCATCTGGGTATCTTCTTCTACTCTCTTGTTTTCGCCATGATCCAGCTGATACTATTGGCTATTCTCTCCATTCAAGGGATTGAAGCTCAAGTAGCTCCTTATGCAAGGAGTTTAGGTAACCTTTGTTTCCTTCTAACTTACTTTTAGCTGTATTTAGGTATCAGCGATTTAGATTTATTAAGATATTCTCCTATTGTTCCCGGAAGAAAAATTCGCGTAAGCTTGTGCCCATTTTCTTTTTTTCGTATAATTTGTCTCTGTAGGTTCGAGCAAATGGAGTCGTCCAAGACGAGGTCGATGATTATAATGATTTTGAGGTCGAAGCCTTAGCAAACGGAAAAGGTTCATATTTCAAGCGTTGATTTCTTCCATCGTTCTTTTAATTTCACAGGAGCTAAAGCTAACCATGATTTGAAACAAGTAACCTATAGACCAATTCCTCAAGAATACAATATTCCGTCGCTCGATGTTGAGGAACGATCGCTGAGCTCTTCATCATCGTCTTCAGGATCTTCATCATTATCCATGTCTTCTAACCAAGGTACTATTGTTTTTATTATTGTCATAATCATAATCACTTTTCTCACAGCGGCTATTCCAACCTTATCTCCAGTTCCACAGAAAACTGCTCAACAGAGAGTTGCCGTAAGTTACATTTCAATTTACACACCTAATATGGTCGTACAGTTGCAAGGAGTTCCACAACGACAAGGATACTTCTTCCAACATTATCCATGGGATCGTCTTCCTCACCGTTATCTTGTTCGCCCAGGATTCCAATATACTTACCCTGCTCAGTATTCGAATACCCAGTATTACTATCCCGCTGGTTTACCATACAAAGGTATGTTAAAAGTAGTAGTTCACTCATTATCGAAACGCAGATCCTTACAACATTTATGCATCAGCAAATGGATGTGGAGGTGGATGTGGTCAAGGTTGTGGAAATGGATGTGGTCAAAGTTCTGGAGGCAGTCTATCCCTTATAATTTTAAATATTAATTTGACTAGTTTCAGGTTGTGGGGGCTCAGGTGGTTGTGGTGGTGATTGTGTTGGTTAGTTTATTCGGAACAAGGAAAGTTTGTTAAATACTTTTGCAGATTGTGGTGGAAGTTATGAAGATAGTGCAGAATACAGTGATGAGTCTACTTCAAGTGAAGAAGTGAGCAGTGGGCGATCAGGTGAAGCTCATCTGATCAACAAAAAAGATCCTCTCGATGACTTGGACCTTGAGGACTTGGAGAGAATTGACAAAGCAGGTGTGGTTTGAATTTAGCTTTGTTTTTTAATTTTAACGACAGGCTCTACTGAAAAGGGATTGTAAACGGGTTGTTGCCCTTTAACCAGATCTGTACATAAATAATATGTAAGCTACTATTTTGCTCGTTCGCATACTTCACTTCTTATTCAGTTTGTTCTGGTTGCTGTCTGCTGTTACTCTATGAACTTAAATTATGATTAATAAAGAGATTCAATTGATGTCTTTCTGCTCTCATAGTACACGCAACCCTTAGTATTTTCAATCAGTTCTGAAGAAGAACAGCTGGCTATATCTTGATTCGACTTCTGAGCAGTTACATTAAACTGTAAAATCATTCTTGGTTTTTTTTCCCGAGTATAGCGGTCGGTTCTAATGAACTTTTTTTTAATTTTTGCTACGGTCAGCAACCAGAAGCTTAGCATCATTTTGCAACTTCTTCAAAAACTGAGCGGTCGAGAAAAATCGTAAAGTCATTTTTGAATTTGTTTCCTTTGCGGCCTCTTACAAGACGTGTGAAATCATTTTTTTATTATTGTGTTGTGTAGTGGTCAGTCACATGGCCCGTCACGTGGAAAACACGTTGTTCAGATAGACATAGGCGTCAGTTGTGATGCTCGTGAGGTAACCAAAGAATATTTCTCACTGTAAATCAAGAAATTTATATGAACGATGTAAGCTAAACATTTAATTTATATGTTTATGTCGATTGAGTAGATACTCTTCGATCGAACCTCTCAAAAAGAAAAATAATACATTAACAGCATAATAGTTTGTAACCATCATTGGCTTATCAGTATTGCAAAGCTGTCTTTTGAAGTTTCCAACGTCAGCATTTTACTATGTTCTCACTCTGTTCATTAACAATCTTTTTATTATAGCCAAAATAGAAGAGTGAGTGAGAAAGAAAATGTTTAATTGTTGTCTCTCATTTTATTTCATAATTACTGAGTCTTCTCATATTTCGTCTTTTCAAATTTGTAAACTCTGAAAAACTTGAAGCTTAAAATCAAAAATTCATATTCAACTATACAATTCCAATTTCTTGTTGTTTGTGTTGTGTAAGTGATTTCATACTCTAACTTTCCATTTACAATAAATATTTTTAGAAAAGATATGAATCTCTCAAGATAATCGGCCGAAATGTTTCTCTCATTCTCTTCATCCACACTTATTCAATTCGTTTAAGGTAAATAACAAAGCGTTACAAGACGCATAAACGATTTATCGAATATATCTCCGATCATAACATCTTTCATACAAATCATCACATCCTTTCTCATATTCTTTGGAGCTCAACTCATTCTCTTATAGATCATTACCCTTTTCAGACAAACTCTAATTGGCTAATTTCATGTTCACATTACAACAAAACAAACTCGTCAGAGGTTAATTTTAATTTTTTTTTCTTCTTCTTCTCAAGTAGCCAACTATCTGACAGCCATGAGCACTCTCCATTCATTCAACGCTCCTTTGTTCTTTTTCTTCTTTTTTTTTCTTTTTTTTTTCAAAAATTGTCAAAAAAGAAAGATTATATGATGGTTTAAATGGAAAATATTTGCTTTGAACGTCGTTGACAAAACTCTGTTCCGTCAAAGTTCATGTTCATTCTCGCACCTAGCGTTTGCGAAAAATTCTATAATAACCTTATAAGCTATGTGTGTAGAAGAGCATCGCAACTCATTGCATACCTATTCATTAATGAATTTTTTGTTTTTCAAATATATATTGAGAGGGAAAAAGAAAGAAAACATGACAAACGATTAGAGCCAAGATTCGCTTAACTACGTTTAAACATTCTTGTTGTTTACTTCACTCGCACTCACCTCTCTTACTTTTCAAAGTTTTCAATCGATAAATCTGTAACGTGATCGGTCAACTGTCTCCATGAATTATTGGAAAAGATTGCTAAGAGTTACTGAATGAGCCTATTGAATTCATTATTACATTATACATATATTAATATAACTTTTAATCATGTTTAAATGAGATATCTGTCTATTTGCTTATTTCTTCCTCATCTCAACATTTGATGCGATCGCATTCACTCATTCTCTTCAAAGGTTTATTTCGTTTAAACAACAATAACAATAACAACCTCTCTATCTATCTAAACTTCTTCGGTTTGTATTCGTTTCGTGCGAACGATAAGAAAAAATGAGTTTTGTTTTATTTCATTTCTTTTATTACTTTTCTGTTAGTCTTAGCTACCTTATAATAACCCCCGATGATTCAATTGCTCATATTTCATATCACACTAACCAATGAATGTCGCTGTAGTTCTAAAGATGGTAACTTTGATTGTAAAGGACATTTTATACAGTTATATATATATGAGAATTTAGGAAACATACGTACATCTTCATTCACATACATATATATACACACACACACACCCATATAGACATCTTGTGAACATCTGTTGAGTTAGCCTTGTAAACAACATTTTCGAACAAATGTTCTGATAGTTCTTATATATAGTATATCCTATATATATATATCATATATTGGTCAGATCACGTTAGACATGTTTTACAACAACTCATTAGCATATCGTCTGCTTGACGTCAGTCGACGTAAATTGCGTGTCATTTCATTCTTCTGAACTTTGAGAACGGTTGCTATTTCTTTGAAATCCGTATACCATCATCTCTTTTCGTCTCTCTGCTTCTCATTTTGTTCTTTTGATGGTCATCTGAATACCTTGAGCTGTTATTATCATTGATTGACATTACGTTATAATCTAATTATATTGATGCTTCACTCAGAAAACATATGACAAGAACATGTCTTGGGTTTGGAATCGTCTGCTGGATATTATTCAGTTGAAAGGTTTATATTATACTTTATCACGAGGTTATAGTGAATGTTTTAAAGAATATTCATTAAAACATACACATCGAATAGCTGTGATGGGATTAGAAGGAGCCGGAAAGTCGACTCTCATCAAATGTGTTCGAAACCGTAATGATGATGAATCAGGTGTGATGGATATTTATGATGAATACAAACATCTAAGCTATCTCTTGATGTGTTGTAGGTATATCAGAGATATTATTGGGTGATATTGTATATACATTGGTTGAGATCACAATAGAAAATGATGGTAATATCTTCATTACTATGCTATCACACAGATTAACATTATTTCAGAAGTTAGTTGTATTGATTTATCTGGTTACGATGCTATTATCTATGTTGTCGATTTAACTGATACATATAACCTTGGACTGAATAAAAAGGAATTTCATATGCTTGTAGAAAATGAGGACGTAAGTCGTTATAGCATGTTATCAATGAAATACAAAAATCAAGATCAAGTATGAGACTGTTCAATCATCATCACAAACACACAAACACACAAACACACACACACATATATAGATGCATGTACTGACAGACACATATCATTTTGAAGTTTGAAACATAAAGAAACATCAAAATCAATATTTGTTTGTTGAATCATTAGGTTTAGGTCATACTAACACCAGTTCTTATCGTTGGCACCAAATGTGATCTTGGCTATTCCATGACTTCAACAGATTTTTGTCACTTACTCGATGTGACATGTACGGGCAAATGTAAGATAGCAGTTATTGATTTTTTCTTAATCATTTCTATCATTATTTAAAAGGTTATAATTTGTCTGTGTTACAGCTGATGATTCTATGCTTGACATAACTATAAGGCCATTAGAATTTTTTCGATGTTCCGTCGTTCAACGTACTGGTATTGGGGAAGCATTTCATTGGCTGACAAATCAACTTCAAAACTAAATTCTTTAAAATATTTATTGACAAATATATTGGTTCATTATATTTGATAATAAAACAATTGTTCTACTCACAGTTTGTTCATTGCTTGCTCTATGCTCAGTGTGCTCTACTAATCTATTTTGATCATTGTGCTCTAACGCTAACTATCATAACTATTCCAGACAGATGAATATTCAAGTTTCATTTTCTGAAGCACCATGGATGACGCAATTAAAAACATTTCTTTATTCATATATAAGTATGAGAACTTGTTTTTTATTATACAATTGTATTAGCTTAAGCTGGCACATCTAACAAAGGTAAATTACTTTTAATCGGAAGAGATGAGATTGGCCGCAGCAGTTTTGGACGCATTTTCCGAAATAATCCCGTTACGGAAGATCCATGTAAGATGCTTGTAAATTACATGCTCACATACAATGATTGTTACAGTAGTGGATGAAGTTGTAATCGAGGGTAAACACTTCGATCTTCATCATCTCGAGTGTCTCAAAGGTTTAGCTTTTTCAAATTATATTTATTATACTATTTTGTAAAGATGTACCTGTTTGGGAACATTCAGATGTGAATGGTATTATCTATCTTTTGACTTCTTCCGATATCTCTTCTCTGGGACCAGTAGCAGAAGATCTCGATGAACTGAAAAAACTGCTCAGCAAAGTTTTTCTATCTCGTATGCGAAAGAGTTGAAACAAACTACTTTGCAGTCTCCACATGTTCCTATACTAGTGTTAGATCTCATACAGGAAAAAAACTCTTTTTTGAGTAAAGAAGTATTGACGCAAGAACTGAGAATTGGAGAAGCCGGTTTGTATGAATTCATTTTCTCTCAACTATACCTTATTCATCATAGTTCAATCTGAGATCACGTCTTTAGTTAACCTAACTGAAATAGCCATAGGTCTGTTTCAAGTCAACTTAGCGGATATAAAAGGAATAGAAAATGCTCGAAAATGGCTGGGATCGAAAATATGCTGAAAATCAATCTTGTAAAACTAATTTTTATTTAACGATAACATAAATCTTTTTAAAATCTAGTTCTTTCTTCTTTAATTGAAAGTAAAATACAAATATAAAACGAAATACGAAAATATGAATCCGAATCCAATCCACGTTCGAAAAATTTTTGTTTTCACATCCCATGTTTCTGAAAGAGCACTGTTGTTTATACTAAGCAGCAGTTCTTACCTATGGATTTAGATTTAAAGAGACTCGGGAAATATGTTAGGAACTGAGAGCCAGTTTGGGTGTCTGTGCCGTTCTGAAATCAAAACGATATGGTCTTGTAGGGCAAAAGAGGAGAAAACCTTCTTAGTTAGAATGATTAGAACCACATGAATGAAAAACGATGAAAGATTGAACAACATTGATACTCCATATAGTACAACTGAAGATGAACGATGAAATATTCTCTTTTTCGATATGAAACCAACCTGTATCTGGTACACGTGAAACAGATAAAGGCAGCTTCGTGATAAATTCTTGTAAAAAGGTGATCTGTATGAAATAATTAGACATTATGCTATATACAGCCATATGTAATGACGGCAGGTAGAAAGAACAGATATTGATAGCGATTGAAACCTAAAGCAGAGATATGAATCCAGAGTTCTTCTCCTTAAACTCACCAAACATGGTAAGAGTATACCTATTCCATATAAAGCAGTATGACGACGTAGTTGAAGTGTTCCGGCTAGGATAGGTCTGGAAAAAAAATGTCTCAGTATCTAAATTTTCATCATTATATTACAGTGTTCCGTATTTCTGTCTCTCAGTGACTGGTGCCTCTTTTGTGGCGGTTCCATTGATGTAGTAGAGAAGTTGATTAGTGAAGCTAACCATTTCGAAATCAGATATAATTCGCTTCGATTCTTGTCCTCCCCATCCTTTAAAGAATAAGTAATAAAGTAATTCGGTGTGAACAGTCTTACCCAACATCAAAGTCGGTGGCCAACTTTCATAAACTCGCAAGACTACCTGAAAGCATGCAAGCTCAATAAACAGTTACAAACTATCAGAATACCTCTGTCATTTTCGCATGACTATATATGATTGCTGTACAGTTGTTGATATCATTCGGATAATCCGCATAATCAAAGTAACAACCTACGTTTATGGAAAACGTTGGATACATTTCTATCATAGCTCCCTTAACTGAGGTGATGTAAGGTTTAGTATATCAAACATACTTTTTCTTTTGAATGCGTCTGTATGAGTACATGAGCCACAGGCGAGATGTCTTGATGTGCGCGAAGACCAGAAATACTAAAAAGCAAATGATTTTTATAAAGCTGAAGTGTACTTACGAGTTGGCAACTCTAATCTTTGGATGCCATACATGCCATTTGCGAGCTTGGATTATACGGATACCATTGAAATCGTCTGGATCCCAACCAAGAAATTCGTCTTCCCATCGCTTGGAAAGAAATTCTTTTCATTTTTATACTATAATTTTCTCACCATGAAAAGATGACCATGAAGAGTGAGCGTTTGCAGCTCTTGATTAACACTGGCATGTATAATGTGCCAGTGAATATCGACAAGAGTAGGAGCTGATTGGTTTCTATAGTACAACAACACGTTATCACTCTATTTCAAATGTTGACACTCACTTGGCAGGCCTGATTTTTGTTGAATACTTGGAGAATATAGATCTTTCTAACTCTGTCGAGTACTCAGAATATGTTTTATTATAGAGTTCTATTGAAATCATCATTAACTACAAACATATATTAATGGTACCTTCAGCTGCATCGTCGTCATCATCCTCGTCTTCATCGTCATTCGATTCATCGGGGTATTCGACAGATGAAAGTTGAATACCGTCAACAACTACTATTATTCTAGACAAATATACAGATAATATAAGAAAAATGAGGAACTTGTTCAGCGATGCCATGCTCTCTGGTTTACCGTCCAGCCTATTAATTGTTTACACCGCCATTTGTTTATTGAAATCAGATACATCCTGCAGTTTATGTGATTATATTCGGAGAGTATAAATATATAATTCGTCGGATTCTAATTAGTGACCTCTGCTACTGAAATTCAGAGTTAATTCAAACCGACAATCCACCTTCATAGACGAATCTTTCCAGACTGATCGAAGAGAAACATGAAAATGAGTTTGAAGCTGGCTACTCGGAGATGGGACAAGGCTGGCCGCTTATCATTGAGCTTTTCCGTACAAATTATTTTCACTTGAATTAAAATAAAACTTGTTGCACGCATGGTTTATTTTAAAGTTTAGATTATGAGATAAGTTAGTTTTCCGCGAGTCTTGAACTCCATTCGCGGATGTTAGATGGAATGGTCAGCTCTTTGAGAGTATTATTCAGTGCTTCGAGATCGATATGTAATGAAACTCGTCTGAAATCGGAATATTCAAGTCAGATTTTGAACTTTGTTTCTACCTGAATGATATGTTATTGTGTTTGAGACTGGCATCGCATAAGCCTAGATGGATCAGTCGGTCAATCTCTTTATATATAATTTCGTCATTGGGCACAGTCATACGTCCATCAGCAGTTTTACACAGGTGCTTGTAATCTTCAATTTTTTTTTAATTGGTTGTTTATGATTTCACAAACCTGTCAACACTTTTCGATATGAGATGTTTGCATTAGGAGATACACGTAAGCGACGATGAATGCAGAGTAACACGCAAAGAGCGCGTAGTGAGAGATCTGAACATACTATGAGGTACTGGTGTTGGAACTAAAAAAGCACCTTGGATGAGATGAGTCAAAGGGTTTTTGTGAGGCATAACTGAACCTAATGCAATGTCCCAAGCTTCCTTGAAGTCTTTTTCTAAATCCTCAGTGCCAGCCAGAATAGACAAGAAAACAGCTACGAAGTTCTTGAGTTGTCCATATGAGGTAGTGAGCTAAACGAAAAAACTGCTAGACCAAGATGAACTATGATTGTTACTTGAAAGAAGTATGATATGTCACAGCGGTAAGAGTCTGACTGTTTCAACATGTTCTTTGCAAATTTTTCCCAATCTAGAATAGTTTTTGATTTTTCAATAACCGATTGTTCAACCTTTATGATTTCCACAAGTGAGAAACTGCATGAAAGCTTTGTAATATTCTTCAGCAGTCTGAGCACCTTTGCAGATGAACTTGATTGAAGATAGACGTGATCGAACTCTTTTCTCTAGAACAGTTACAAAATCCTGGAAAGAATCGTTGTTCAATTACAATCTTAACTTCTCAGAACCTGTCTGTTAGTCATGAGTATTACAAGCCAAGGAAGTGATCGCGTAGAATCCAATATGGTGAATAGCAGAGTTTGCCTACTACGAGCAGCTAACTCATCAGCATCTTCGATGATGATGATCCGTTTTTCGTTCTATAACAGAGAATGCACATCAGGATTGACCGAAAACCTTACACTTTTGCCTTTGATTAGATCATGGATTGTAGCATCAGAGCCCATTTGAGCTAAATTTCAATAAAGATTTCCTTTCCTTTACTAGGAATTCACAAACCAACACAGATATAATTACATTGCTTAGCATCTGGTATGTAGGTATTGATGGCCCTACCAACTGCCATGGTGCGTCCCGATCCAGTTGGCCCGGTGACTATACATGATTCTCCCTTACCACTTTTGGTCCACCTTTCGAATAGAATATTCAACCCCCTGGAAACAAATGACTGATGATGGAAAAAAAATTGGACGAACTCTTGCTGAGCTTCTAGCCCAACGTACTCATCATCCAATTTGAGGAGAGTATCATCTATAGAATCGTGCAGAGAGTTGTACTCCATCTTTGAAAGAGTATGATAGTA